CATGTAGCTCCTTCCAAGGTAGAGCTTCTACAGGCATTGAGGATGGTCACAAAGCAAGTTTGATCCGGGAGCTCCACAGCTTTCATCGCGTGGAAGACATTGAAAGCTTCGATCGCTCGAGCGTTTAGACGGTGTCAATCTCTGGAAGCGTGTGGAGCCACGCTGCGGCATCGTCCACGCGCCGACCCAGCATCGCGTTCCAAGACGCCAGGTTCCTGTGTGGCATGCTGCAATAGAAGAACTCTTTAGCATTGAGCGTGTTGGCCATTCCGGAAGTCGTGATTTTTTCAGTAATTATTAATATGATAAGTTATTAATTAGTTGTATAATGTTTTTTAAAAACTTATAATCACACAAACAATTTGCATTAAAAGATAAATTTCATTAGTAAATTATAAAAAAGATCCTACAGCGATTTGATGACTACTCTAAAACATGAAAAAGATTTTCCAAAGGCAGATGGTTACATTTTATTAGATTACATTACTCTGCCAGTCCCAAAGTTTTGAAGCCAGAGAGGAGGGAAATTTACACAAAAACCACGCGTAAGAAAAGAGACAAAGTGAATTCTTTTCGAGTCTCAGCACAAGCGCTCCACGCTGCTACTACTGCTCGAGTTTATGTCGCTGTAGCACCTCGAGTGGTTGTGGCGATGGTGGTCTGAAGAAGAAGCGGTGGTGGTGGTCGTGTCGGTGATGGCAGCGGCGCTGGAATCATCGTCAATCTGCAAAAACGTATCTGGAGCACTATGAAATCCAAAAGCCCGACCTGGCGAGGAGCTCTCCTCGGTTGGAGACGGCGATCCCACGGGAGTTTCTCTCAGCGAGGAAGCACCCCGAGCGGACTCATCGTCGCAAGCTCCATCTCCAACCGGGGAGGTCTGAGTAGCCGCTGGTTGGGTAGTAGCCGGCGGGGACACGGCAGTGGCTGCTAGTAGCGGTGTGCTCTCGGATGGCGGCGGCTCTTCGTTTTTGTTGTGCGCATCCCTCTTGCAAACCGGACAGAATGGCCGTCGAGTCGTAAGCCACTGATCTACACAAGCCGCGTGGAAATCTGAAAGAAGAGAGCGTAAGAACAACATAGCACGAAGAGAAAACAAGGAAACTCACCATGGTGGCAAGGTAGAACTCGGAGCTTTTCACCGGATTCATAGTCTTCCAGGCAGATGGCGCAAGTATCTGACGTCCCCTGGCCATCGCCCAAGCATTTAAATATGACTGTAGGGAGAGCTTTCACTTCCCGTGCGCTCATTCCGTAAGAGTCTCGCAGAAGGAGCAATCTGGAGCCGAGGTGACGCAGTCTGTATCTCCGGACGAACAGGAAAGTGGTGAGCACCGCGGTGACGGCGAGCAGTGAGATGAACGACACGGCCATGACTGACCAGGCCGTGTTCTCAATGGCCGGCAGAATGTAGCAGCGAGCTCCAATCTGTTTGGAATACTCGAGCAGCGTCTCGCCAGCGGACTTTGAAACGAAAACGGCTGGAATGCGCACGTCGTCTGATGATCCAGACACTGGAAAGGAAAGAATCAAAGAACTGCTCATGGAAAAAGCACACTCCACTTACTTGAGATCAAATCATGGCCCTCTTCGTTGTTGTAGACGATCACGGCACTGAATCCAGCATCCTGGGCATTCAAGATCTTCTCGTCAAACTTACAGCCCCCTCGCTCCACAATCGCGAAAACCGGAATGCTGCCGATCAAAAGCCCCGGACCATTGATGATCGCGTCGCATGCATTGAGAGGGTACGCTTCGTAGAACAGGCCGGAAATTCCAGACGCTGGAACTCGAGGCGCTGAAAGAGAAGAGAAAGATGAGAATTCCACGCTAGACACAAATTCCAAAGCTTTTCCTTACCGAAGCTAGCTTCCATATCCGGGAATGGCAGCGTCTCGTTCTTGGCAGTGATGAGAACGACCATGGCACTGGCTCTTCCAAGAACAAGGGTGAGAACCACCAACAGGAGCCCCGCAATTGTGATCATAATTTCCCGCAGCGTCACGAATCGCCCGGAATTCGCCTCAGCATTCTCCACTGGCGGTGGCATGGCGGCATAAAGATCTCCCAAATCCCCTCTCTCCTCCAAAGAAGACCTGGGGCATGAAACCGAAGCTCCGGAATTTCGCCGGCCGCTCGCTCGCTACACGATCGCTAGGAAGAAAGCGATAGAATGCGGCAGGATCTTACACCTCGCGGCTCGCGGCTGATAGCGCACCGCCCCATTCCGCCATCGATGAACCCTGATAATGCCCTAAAATCTCCAAATTGGACCTTCAAGTACGGCCACTACGTACGATGGCGGTACGAAGACGGGTCAACTGACACGTAGCCAAAGAAGTGTGGACAGCAGATAAAGAAGGCCTTCACTGCAAAACTTTAAAATCCAGAGGAAGGTGGTCACTGGATGAGGTGACACACAGTTTTTTTGGATCAAAGGATAAAAGCGAATGACAATAAATCTGGAGTTCTCGATTGTTTAGAGCGAAGCATAGAAGCTCTTGTTTTATCCTACTGACAGAGATCAGAGAATTTGGAGATCTCCATTGTTTAGAGCGAAGCATAGAGCGTACTCGGAAGCTCTATTGTTTTGTCATATTGACAGAGATCTGCATAGGCGAAAACGATTATCTTTGCAGTAGATTTAAGGACCTGTGATTGCTGTTAATGTCCTGTGGAGTATCTCCACTCGTCGCAAAGAACGCAGCGATCGATCGCTTCTGGATTTTGCGACGCACAAGCGACTGCCAAAACAATGTCAAATCACGAAGAAAAATATGAAAGAAACGAGAACATACCGCAAACGTTACATTCCCGATGCTTCACTGGCACTACCGTTGCCTCTGTTCTCCCTGTTCTGCTCCAATCGTTTCAGGACCACAAATCATCTCTAGTCTTCTCTTGGTCGCCATAGCAGCCGCTTGAGCTGAAAGAGTTCCTTATGCTGATATTTCCTAGTTTCTGAGGCCACGGCCGACATACTCACATTATTGATTTTGAAAAAGTTGCAGAAACAAATTGTCCTTTTTCCTTTCTAAGTGTGCGAGTCTAAATTAACAAGGGTATAATACATACCTCCCTTTATTATAACAATCATATTGAGAATGTATATTATATATTTATAATATTTATTTTGTATGGATCTATCTAATGTTAATGTAAAGTAGGACATAAATCTAATTTATGATTAAGAAAAGATCTTAACCCTTAGCAAAAAGTATTAGTTGACCAAAGAGGAATATTTTTAATATTTTTAGAAAACATATGTTGATAGTTTTTATATAAAACTAAATTACAATCATTTTGTAAAGAAAGATATGTACTCATTAGACAATTAGGTTTAGCTTTGCAATATTTATTTGGTGACCATAAAGGTTTTTTGTTTTCAGAGTAAAAAACTAAATTTCCATCAGGCTGTAATATAAGATAACAATTTTTATAGTTTTCTAATATTGACCATTTTGCTTCATTTCTTATATAAAGTTCTAGTTTACAATTAGGATGTAAATATAGAAGTGCTTTTTTATTTAGTGAGCTTATAAAATAATAGGGTAATAAAATGTCATATAATGTAGAACTAAATAATGAATGCGAGTAAATTTGACAATCATTAAAGTCACTAGTTAATATTTCTCTAGATCCTCCTTGAGGAGGTATATTCATAATCCAGTAATAAATAGCATATATCCCTGATGTTAATGAAATTAATCTGGATCCAAGATTTAGAAGAGTAGGATGATATTGCATTATTAAGTTAGTTAATTCATATCTTACTATAGTAGTGTTTCTTTCCTCACCAGAAGGGTTAGTAGAACAATATCTGTATTTCAACACTGAAAAGCCATATTTGCATAACAACAGTTATATTACCAAATATTTCATCTTCAATAATAGCAAGACGATCTATACCTTGGCCTAATGGTATGGTGTGACCCTGTGGAATTGCATAATTTACCATCATAAGTAACCTTGAAACAATTATATTTGTAGTATTTGAATTTACAAGATTTGTATCTTCTGGTCTAGAAACAAGCTTAGTTGTGTAAATGACTTTCAAAAGTAGAAAAATAAGAACTGTAATACTTAAATCCATATTAGTTTTCTTCTTGAAAAGGCAATATGAGTATAATTTATATCAATTGTTTTCTATGTAAAAAGAACAAGGTTTTGTTTTGTGTTGTCTTTAAAAAAGTTCACTAAACGACTATTTATCTGGAAGATATTACAAAAACAAAAGTAAGAATGGAGAGCATCAATTTGGCTTCTCCAAAAGAAGGGAACGAGTCCAGGATAGGCTGAAATCTCCGTCACACCACCACCACCACCTTGTCCAAAATCAACTTTACATAATGAAAAGCTACGAGAGCCCTGAGGACCTCCAGTAATAAAACAATGAAACACGAGATTTTGGAAACGCTTCAAGACCACCATAGAGGAGAAACTCACAAACAACTCCAAGGCCTCAAGAATGCTAAGCACGAGTTGCAAAGCATCGCTGCCAGTACTAGAGCGTCTTCCAGGCATCCCAGATCAAAGCTCTTGATACGTAGCCAACGCCGTCAACCGTGAGAGACGTCTCCAAGAACAAGCGCGTCCATTCGCGAGCCTTGTTCCAAAGCCTGGACCCTGTGCTCCAGCTTGGCGATCACCTTCTCTATCTTCTCCTGGCCCGTCATGAACACGAGGATATTAGCCGGAGGCTCCTTGGCGTGGATCTCTATCAAAGTCTACTCCACTGGCTGCTCGGTACTATACATGATCTCCACCGGGAAGAGCTTCCCAGGAATGTTGACAACGAGGCTGCCACCGAAGAACTGGGAGATCTTGTGACCATCTAGATAACGATCAGCTTGAGCTCGGGCTTTCTCAAGGCAACCAGGCGCTTGAGCAAGCCGAGAAGGATGTCAGTGTTGAGTGTTCTCTCGTGGGCTTCGTCCAAGATCACCACCGAGTACTGGCTCAGCTCAATGTCGACTAGGAATTCGCGGAGAAGGCAAACGTGCGTGAGATACTTGACAGTATCTTCTTAATAAAAGTCGATTATCTTTGCAGTAGATTCAAGTACCTGTGATTGCTGTTAATGTCCTGTGGAGTATCTCCACTCGTCGCAAAGAACGCAGCGATCAATCGCTACTGGATTTTGCGACGCACAAAACTTGCACGCCCACGCTTTGTTCTTCGACAAATTCGCTTCCGGCTGTGTGGATCCACATGCTGCGCAGATTGGCGCAAGGGGCTGCAAAAACAATGTCTAATCACGAAGAGAAAGAAAGAAAGAAACGAAGAACATACCGGATTTAATAGAGTGCAAACGTTACACTCCCACTCGGGAACTTTGGCTCGCTTTGATGGCGGAGGTGCTTCTTTGTAGCGACACGCTTCACTGGGACCAGCTTCTAAAGTGTTGCCTCTGTTCTCTCTGTCTTTTGCTTTGCCATCACCGTCTTCTCCAATCGTCTCAGGAGCGCCACACCACAAATCATCTCTGAATCTTCTCTCGGCCGCCATAGCAGCCGCTTGAGCAGGACTGAGAGAGTTCCTCATGCTGATATCTCCTCCTGGTTTCTGAGGCCCCGCCGGCAAGAGGCTTCCCAGCCGCTGGCGTTTCTCGGCGGCAGCAAGAGCTGTCTTACGTAGCGACGAGGCCGGCGGGTTGTGTGAAGCGTTGCTCAGCTTCTTTCCTGGAGCATCAAAGCCTTGGCCAGTGCCAGTGATTCCTTTGGCCATGAGATCCTCGCATTCCTTACGTGAAAGGGGAAACAAAGAGATACGTGAGTAAACGAAGCTAGGAAGCTAAAACTTACGAAAACAAAGGTAAAACTTTCTATGCAAGAAGATGCTTGAAAAGAAAAGGAGAGAAATCTTACCTTTGTGACTTCGTCGAGGAGCTTGTAGAATTTGGCATCGTGAGGCCCGCGCTCGATGTGAGTGAGCTCGTGAAGCATTGTTCCCAATACAAAATCATACTCGTAAAACTCAGAGTCTCGCCCATGGCGGCGAAGCCTGATTTTGATCTCGCGTCCTCCATTCACATTGAGCCCAAGCAAAGAAGGATTTCTCGGCCTGGCAGCAGCAGCAACAGTGATTTCGACGAGAAAGGGGGAAAATGCATACCGAAATTCGCTGAGAACGCCGACGCGCCAGCGCCGCCGCCGCATGATCGGTTGTACCTGCGCAGCCACAGCGCGTAGCAGTCGCTTCGCCTCGCCATCGTTCTCCAGCCCTAGCGTCTTGATCTCGCAGACCTTGCACTCGTCTGCCCTACCCGCCATTTCCATAAACCCTACATTTTCAAACCCTTTAAACAAAAAAGAATTTCATGAGAATGGAAAGATTCCTTCGCCTGGAATATGCTCTGCGCTGCGAGACCGTCACCTACGGTTTGCTTTCGAAAAAACGGGAGCTGTGCAAAGATCGCATGCGCGTTTGCTGGGAATTCTATGCCCACGGCATATGCCCAGACCGGGCATATTCATAGAGCTCAAGAGATCTCTTATGAGATGCCACATGTTTAAATATTCTTCTCACAGCCTATGCTGCAATGGGATCTCGTCTCGTCGAAATAGCGGGTATATCAAAGATGCCAAGAGAATGTTGAATCGTTGCTTGTGGAATGTGTGTTCTCCGCATATATGCCCATAATGGGTACATTCGAAGCAAAAGATATGGGAGCAAACTCGTGCACAACCTTACATATCATTTCCCATAATGGAATGAATAATCGAATGACAGAAAACGATAGGATTTTATTTATTCAAGAAACTTAAAGCTGAATATACATATACGTAGTGCTCTTGAACTGTGAGTTTCAAACACCTTGATATTTAGGATTTGCTTACGCTTTGGGCTTCATGGTGTGAGCAGCCTTGGGATTGTTGGTGTGGCAAAGCAGCTTGTCATGCTTACCAAAGATAGCCATGTTGGTGGTGGTCATGAAAAATTCTTGAACTATGACCAGCTTGGTGTGGTGGTCATGGAGATGGTCCAGAAGTAAGCGCTTTATCAATTCTTTCGCCCTGATCATGGTCATTATTAATGATACCTTACAGATGAAGAGATTGATCAACAGCAGCAACACTTTTGAGCTAGAATTGTTTATGAGCTCTCCATCTTGTTCTTCGTCTGCCACTTTGATCCATATTATATCAATTGTTTCGCCTCGTCTCTACAGCCAAGCCGCCCAATGACCCAAGAATGCCATACTAGCCAAGAGCTTCTCGCGGGGAACAGGCAGATCCAGTCGTACGGCAGGTCGGGCAACGCGAAGCAAGCCAAGAAGATCTTCGATTCCCTGCCATGGAAAGATTCCTTCACCTGGAATATCATGCTCTATGCATTTGCCCGCAATGGGCATCTGCGAGATGCCGAGAGCCTGTTCGAGAATATGCCGTCACCGAGCATCGTCTCACACACGGTCATGATCGCTGCATATGGAAAAACAGGATGCCTTGAAAGAGCCAGAGGAATCTTCAACAGGGCGACGAATCGCACGCTGGTCTGTTGGAACTCTATGCTCACAGCATATGCCCAGAACGGGTATATGCTCAATGCTCAAGAGATCTTTAATGAGATGCCACAGAGAAGCATCGTCTCTTTTAATATTCTTCTCACGGCCTACTCGACCAACAGCGACATCCAAAACGCTAAAATGTTCCTAGAGAATATGCCACAATGGGATCTCGTCTCCTGGACGACAGTGCTAATAGCGTGTGCCCGCGAAGGGCATATTAAAGATGCCAAGAGAATGTTCGAAGAGATGCCACAGCAGGATCTCGTTGTTTGGACGGCAATGCTGGAGCTCTACTGCGACACAGGAAATCTCGAGGCTCTAAAAAGATTCTATGACAAGATGCCACAGCACGACAGGGTATCGTGTAACGTGATGCTCTCGGCATATGCCCGTAATGGGTATATTCGAGAAGCAAAGGATATCCTTGCGGCGATGGGAGCAAAAGACCTCTTCTCTTGCACAACCTTGCTCACTGCCTACACAGAAAGCGCATATATTCTTGACGCTATCGAGCTGGCGGAGAATATGCCGCAACACAACCTGGTATCTTCCACGGCCTTACTAGTAGCCTATGCCCAGTCAGGGCATATGTGGCTAGCAAAGCAAGTGTTTGATGCCATGCTAGAGCGCGACTTAGTGTCATGGAATGCTATGCTAGATGCTTACGGACAAGCAAAAGATCTGGAGAATGTTTGCCTAGTCTTTGATTCTATGCCACACCGGGACGTGGTTTCGTGGACGTCCATTCTAGCGGCATATGCCCAGAGTGGGAATCTGGAGAAAGCCGCATGTACGTTTGATTCGATGCCCGGAAAGAATTTAGTTTCCTGGAACGTGATGCTTGCATCTTACATGCAGCACGGCCACTTTGACGAGACGCTGAGAATCTTCTCTTTGATGCCTGAAAGAGATCTGGTATCTTGGAACGCGATGCTTGTGGCATATGCCCAAAACGGGCATATCCTCGAGGCCAAAGAGCTCTTCTATTGCCGCATGCCACACAGGAACCTGGCATCTTGGAATGCGATGCTGGGCGGATATACCCAGTCCGGCCGCGTGGACGATGCCGCAGCATGGTTCCACAGGCTTCCAGAGATTGACACCGTCTCGTGGAGCTCCATCTTGACAGGCTACTCGCAAAACGCTCGAGCGATCGAAGCTTTCAACGTCTTCCATGAGATGAAAGCTGTGGAGCTCCCAGATCAAACTTGCTTTGTGTCCATCCTCAATGCCTGTAGCCAAACCGGGAAGCTCTACCTTGGAAGGAGCTACATGGTGTCCATGGGTCTCGACTATGGGATCTCTCCCACTAAGCAGCACTACTGTTGCATGGTTGATCTCCTGGGACGAGGTGGTCACCTGGATGCTGCGTTGGAACTTGTCACAAACATGCCTTACGTTCCCGAGGCTCTCGAGTGGCGGTGTTTGCTGGGAGCTTCCACTGGCCACCGGGACTTCCACACCGGGGCCTGTGCTACGAGCTCGATCCTCGCGCTGGAGCCCGGAGATGGAGCGGCGTATGTTCTTCTGTCTAGCATCTATAGACTCGGAAAGGATGCTCCTGTAAAAGAGAAGTTAGAAGTAGCAAATTGAAGAACCAAACTCACTTACAGGTGAGCAAGCGCTTTTGTAGGTACGAAGCTTAAAGGATGGAAGTTCTTCCATCACACTAGAAAACTATATATCATTAGAATCAAAGAATAAGTTACTTCTATTCACATATGGTACACGATTGCATTCTCCCCTCAGCTCCTAAGAAACAGGTACTGGAACCGAAAATCAAAGGGCAAGATTGAAAAATTCCTCGAGCTCAAGAACCTGTGACGCCTCTGTTGCAGGCACTCCCTGATAACAGCCACCTGCGGGCTCGGGAGGTGGAGGTAAATCCACGCGAGCAAGCTCGAGTCCTCCATGTTTTCGTGCGCGTAAGTGTAGAGCAGCTTGGGAATCAGGACTTTACCCCTCACGCCGAGCCCAACTGATGCTCGGATGTAGTCGTGCAGCGAAGACTTTAGCTGCTGAATAACATTATCTGGTGTGTACACCTTTACCTGCAAAGAATCAAACCGTTTGTCAATCTGGAATGACAGAGCTATACAACTGCGAGCTTACCAATGGTGAAGATCGCGCACCGCAGCTTAGAGCAAACACTGTCAAAGGTTCTGGATAATCGACTGCAAAACTCGTTTGTTCCAATGTAAGTTTGATTTTGTGTAGTGCCAGTAGTAAGGCCTGAAAAGTAGACAATTGTGAATTAGCCTCGAGAACAATAAAATGCTTTGTTTTTACGATTTGCGGACGATGTGCAGGAGCTTTATGCTTGAGTAAATGGTACTCAATAGCAAGCGCTGTAAAGGTGTGTCCACCGATCACGTACGATGCCTGTAAAAGAACGAGATCGTGGTAAGTCCATAGCTATTTTATTACTCCATCTACCTTTTGCAGGAGGAAGAATGACTTAAGCTCGCTATTCGGAATGCCGTACGCCAAGTATCCCTGAAGTTGTGATCAGTAAAACGAGGAAATTCTTAATATATACTTACGTGCATAACTAGAGCGTTATAAATATTCACCCAGAAAGCTAGTTTTTCTTCGTGTGCCATGGACAAGATGTCCACTTTGGCTAGTTGTTCGACCAACAATCTGCCGTGGAGAAAAGTTAAGTTAGAAGAAAAAGCAAGAAAGAACAAAAACAAGGAAAAAAAGAGAAAAAGACGTACTTGTATTCTCGAAGAGCTCGAGCAGCATATCCAAGCTGTTCCTTGCCAACAGCTATCCACCTGATTTCCAACGCCGAACTATAAACTCCAATATCCACCCAGGATAGCTTCTCTTTTGTCCTGTAAGGATCAAACAAGCTCTCGGATCCCACAACATCTTCCTTGTTCGGCAACTCAACCAGTGGGCTTTTACCAAAAGACAGAAACGAAGATTCTGAAAGCGATGACATAGAAGGTGTTGTGATCGCTTGCGTAAAAGGCGAGGTCGGTGACGAAGACGCGGTGAAAGGCGCAGTGTCTGAAAGGTGGCAATATATATCCATCATGCAGCGAAGCATTTTCTCCGAAAGCCGATTAGGATGTAAAGCGAGGCCTTTTAAAAGCAAGCTACTCCTCCGGGATAGCGTCATTGTGTCATCAAACTCTTGTGGAGGAGTTTCCTGTCGAGAATACAAGGTAAAATGACATCAGAGAACAAAACTGTAGCTTACAGGGCAACTTGAACAAGCGACTAGCTCAGAATGCTTTTGCCTAGTCTTCTTTCGTTGATGTTTTCTATGTTTTATCCTCTCGCTCTGCAGAAAAAAGCTCACAGTTTTGCCAAAGAGCTTGCAAGAAGTACCTCAAGGGAGTCGCATTTTTCTCTTTTATGTGACTGCCCGTAGTCTTCGTCAGAGCAGTTACTCCAAAAGCTTGATCGTCTTGGAGTATCTGGCTCTCCCGAGATTGTCAAAGCTAGATTCCCATGCTCGTAGGGGGAATCTTCCTGTTGTTCTGAACTTTCAGCATCGCTGTACCTCGAAAGACGGCTAGAGGACTTTCGTAGACCTGGGGTTACAGGCGAGAGTTCGTCTACTAGAGCGCTGCACGAAGGATCCTCTTGACAAAATAAATTTTGTGAACATTGAGCTTGCGGGATCCTGTCGAATGTTTTGCTGTGCCTGAACGACGATGGAGCAGAGTTCTGAATTGCAGCACTTTCTTTACGTTCCTTACACAGCTGCCACTGGGATGCCAGCACTTGGTCTTCCAAGCTTAGAACAGTGACTTCGAGAATTGCAATATCTTGCAGTAGTTTGCGCACCTGCATCAATCAGTCAACGATATATTTTATGCAAAACTGGTTATATAATCAAGGAATAAGATATAAACCTTCAGAGGAACATGTTCAGGGATGGCCGCGGACGCATCGGATAAGGCAATTTCAAGCGCTTCGCGCAGATCTAGCTCATTTCTTAAACGCTTGTGAAGCCTCAATATCTGCGAATTAGAAATCGCTGCATTAGCTATTCATTCAATGCACAAAACCATTAAAACTCACGTCCTCCTCGAGACGAGAACGGCGCACACGCAAGCCTTCCTTCCTGATTGCTTCAATGGAGTTGGCAACAGTCTAAAACTGACTAGCGTCAGGGATGCTTTTCCTGTTAGCAGAAGAATAAAGCTTACAACGTCACTGGATGACGAAAACAAGCGCCGGGAGGCGTCCCTCCGTCTAGAATCCTCTGCGCACAAATCCTGAAACGGTGGAGTTTCAAAGAGTTCTCAAGGCTAATCCGAAAAACATGAAACAGATCAGTACCTCTTCATCGATTCGCTCCAGCGGCTCACCGTGGACCTTTGCGTCCGTGGCGTGCCGCCCTTTGTGCTTCTTCCTCGTCTGCTTTTGAGGAGAATTGCTGCATCGCATCGCATCACAAGAGTAAAGTGTTAGTTCCTGTGATGAACAATACAAGACCACTATACCTGTCACTCATCCCGGAGGCTACATTGGTCAAGAGCTGTGCGCAGATCATCTGTAGAGCAAAAAAATTGCTGGAGAAACTTGGAAACACTCGTGAAAGCTTACAGTGTGTCCAAAGCCTCCATTAGAGCAAGCAGAGTGCGCGCGTTTGAAAGAATCCTACAAACAAAGCGTTGGAAAACTCCAATTATGAGAATGGTACGTACCAAAGGACTAAAGATACTATCATTTCTGTATGTTGTCTGGAGAGGCGCTTGGCAAGGACCAAACACTTTCACCGCGCCTTTGTCGGGCATTCTTTTCCCTTCGTTTGCTTCACGGCGCCACCGATACATTTACTGCCCTGTCCCGGATTCCTTTCTCCATTGATTCCCTCCAAAATATCACTCAAGAAGCACGAAGAATGGGAGGGAAGGACGAGATTGAGGAGAAGCAATCGATAGCCAAGCCACTCCAAGCGAGAGAAGAAGGCCGGCAGCGGCGATTCCTTGCTTCGCGAGGCAGGGGGGAGAGAATTTCTAGATCCAATCCATAGATTTGGACGAATTCCACCGAGATTACGCACCATCACGCGCAGAAGTGCCCTGCATTGCCAAATTTCCCTGCGAAACAAAACCTTCTCCCTGGCGCAAGGCTATTCGCTCGCTAGAGCTCGCGATCGCTCCACCATCGCCAGATGCAAGAAAGCCGCCTTCTCCTACCCTAAAAAACAAAAAACCTCCTAAAGAAACAAAAGAGAGCTTCGCGTCTTTACCTAAGAAGAATGCGACTGGGCAACCACTGAAAGTTACACACACTTACACGCCCACTTTACCCATACCCCATACACATAATCATTCCATCCATCAGCCGCACGATCCCGGGAATCTAACGGCTCTGCGCGGCGCCACTTTGGGCCATAACTTTGCCGTGCAAACTGGTTTATGGCCACGTGCAGTGGCCAGTCCCCGCGAAGGCATATCCCCCGCAAGCTTGCAATTCAAATAACGAATCACCCTGTAAACGTGCCCAGGGAATACCAGCTTCGTACTCCTGCCACGTCCGCGTGTAGATAAATTTTAGCTCCTCGAAAATAATGATAAAATACAGTGTATAGTTGTAATGTATAATATTGTGTTATCCAATCTAGAGGCCCACTTACACTTGCATTGAGTCAGAGTGACTGGGGTACCCGTGGAGCTCAGACTTTCCTCTCTTTAGGGCGGATACAACGCACGGATTTTAGGGCACGGCAGGGAGACCCGTGATCTCCGCTCCCTGGGAGGAGTTGGCGTACGGACATTCACTCTGGCAAGAAATGTGGACGTTGCTTTGGCCGCTTGCATCCGTACGGCCAGAGACCACCTGTACGGCCCACGCCACCCGCGCCATGGATGAAGTGGACGTCGCATTAAAACTAATTGGTTGACCGCTTCCGACAAATCCACCAACTTTCTTACGCTGTTCGATGGTCAGGTGTCTTTTTTGTTACGTGGTCGCGCTTATCATCTATGGGCCGAGCCCGAATATTTTAGGTCAAGGCTCGCTATTTTGCATGATCCACCCCACAATAGGACGTTGATGTTGGATCACACACTTGGATACATTGCGAGCGACCTAGGTGTTGCTTGAAAAGGAGGGGCGGCTTGTCGATTTTAGGTTTAGTGGTAATGTCGGAGGGATTGCGCTTGTCGGCGACTGCATGGTTGCTTCTTCCACGTCCGGGAATCTTAGACTGGATCAATTACACGCAAGCAAATCATTTTCAAATCCGTAGAATATTCCATTAGGGTTTAATGTTCTCACTGGAACTTTTCTTGTTTATATCAAAGCATGAGTTGGCGAAAGTACTCCTCAAACTCGTCGTCAATGGTGGGGATCTTCTTCTCAACTTGGGATGTCTGTCGCCCAGACGAGAGGATGTAAGTCGAGCCGGGTTTGTCACGATCTTCTTCGTCATCGCCATTGGCATCATCACTGGCGACGATCTTTACCCCATCTTCTTCCTCGCAAAACTCCATAAACTCGTCCCCGCTGCTCACTTCTTCCTCGTCCACCCTGCCAATCCGCCGCGCGAAGATCCACTCCTCTTGCTTCCCCTGCTGCTGCTCCTGCCAGCGCCGCTGATCCTCGGTCTCCAAGGATGTCGTCGTGCTGACTTCTTCATCCACAGCTACAAAGTTTGATTCGCAAGGAAATCCCTCGTCAAATCCCTGCTTCTTCTTCTTCTTCTTCTTCTTGTTCCTCTCCTTTCTTGCCAAGATCTCTTGCAAGTTCCCATAAGCTCCTCCCAGAACCTCGGACTCGCAATCCTCTTCCTCCTCGGACACTGTCAAAACAGTGCCTTGCACCTCGGACACTTTTCTCTTGAGTCCCTTGCCATTGTAGCGAAAGCCTTCTATTTGAACCGCTACCGATCCGCCATGACTTCCATCCCCACTAAACATGAATTATACTACGCTCTGCTCGGTCCCATTGTGCTCCACTGATCTATTTCCTCCTTCCCGTCTCTCTCCAGGAGACCCACTTCATCACTCAAGAGCACTGGAATCTCTAGAAGATCCTCCCGGCCAAGAGTTTAGCTCATCTTCTTCCCGAGAGCCTAGCAATTCAGATCCCTACCTCGAAAATGGAGCTGCCCAGCACGGAATACGGCCACGATTGCTGCGATCGAGAGCGCAAAAACTTCCAGCGCGCTGCCGCATTGTACTTCAAAACTCGACCACCACAAGATGAAAAGCCCTAATGCCCTCGATCTTTCATTGTGCGTGTACTTAAAAGGCTGTCACATAGAAGCAAGAAGAACGAAGAGACACCCTTTGCCGGGCCTTAAAAAGATTAGAAACATACGGAGACTTCCACATATATCCTTAGAAACTTACATCGATTTGCTGCGCGGAGTTTTGTTTGATTTGTACAAGCCTCGTCTCCAGGCTGGAGAGCACCGGATTATATCTGCAAGCAGCCTGTTAAAAAACTCTGAAAAAAACCAAACAAAGCAAAAACAAAGGAGAAAAGCTTACAGTCTGTTGAATCCATTCAAGGTGATCCTGACACTCGCCAACTCCAAAGCCAGCTGGTCTCTTTCGCCCAATGCTTTTGTTAAATCCATCTGCAGGGAGAAGAAAAACACCAGAGCCGAGAGTTTAAGACTCCACAGACAAAAAGACGAGCAAGCGGCCAGCGCGTTACCTTAAGTTTTGGTATTTCTGTCGATGACAAATCCTCCTCCTTGACCAAATCCTCTAGTTGGGATAATGTTTGATGCGCTTGCAACTTGTTTTCTAGCTCTGTGTTCTGTTTAGCGCACTCACGAAGCTGGGAAAAACAAAAGGATTTGTTAGAGTTCTGAAAGTTCTTTTGTCTCGAGTACCTGGCGTTCCCATTGTGCTGCAATCTCCGAGGTTTCGTTTAACCCACTCACTAGACCTTCGTTTTCCATGAAGAGCTTTTCAATCTCCAGGGACTGCCGGTCAATCTAGCAAAGAAAGAAAAAGGCTACCATTAGAAATACTGGTGAAGCGTTTCTACCTCTGCGAGCAGCTTCTGCCGGCCATTTTCAAGTCGTTCAACCATAGAGGCAAGCTCACGAAGGTGTTGCTCGTATTTCCCTCTGTCCACCTGGAGCAAAACTATTAAGAATTTTACCGTGCCAAGGAAAACGAACCTTGGACTTCCATTTGTTACTCGTGAATTGTTGTTCGGTAGTGCTTGCAGCATTCGCAAGTGCTCGCTTTGCTTCTGTTGGCAGACAGGCAAGACATGGATTAAAAATAAGGAACGGGAAAACTTCGTACCGGCTTCATTGTTCCGGGATGACGCAAGAGCAGCTTCGAGCTCTTTTTTCTCAGCAAGAAGTTGAGCAACCTTTTGCTGCTCCATGGCCAACAGTTGCCGATTGTTTTGAAGCTGGAAAAGCGCATCCTGTAGCAGAAGAGAAGTAAGAAACGCAAAAACTTGCAGGAACCTACATGGAGCTCCTCTTTGACGGCCTTGTGCTCTTGGTCGCTGATTGCATATTGGTCTGTAAGCATTGTTGCATGGAAAGACTGAGAGCTGGCTGAGTGCTCCATCTGCTGTTGCAATTGCTTCAGCTCTGCTCTCAAAACAGCAGCATCTTCTTCGGCCTGGCAAGTGGAGGTTAGCTTTCTGCAAAGAGTATTTTGTGACAAGCTAATGGACCTTGTACTGCTCGTTCTCGGCTTCTTGGAGTCTTTTTCTTGCGAGACGCAGCTGAGCTGTAACATCTTCCTAGCAAAATCGAAGCTTTCCCTTGTTGCTTGAAGCAATGACGTATAAAGCCTACCTTGGATGTAATGGCGGCATCTCTATCAACAGTAAGATTTTTTACAGACTGCTTCAGCTCCGAAACAAGCTTTGCATCCTGCGAGGAAGAAAACTTAGAATCTTACAAGACATGAAGACTAACAAGCACATACGTTACTGGCTGAAGCTTGAAAAGTTTGAAGGTCCCGGACAAGAACTTGTATTTTCTCGATCTTCTCGTCCAATTGCCTTTGCAGCGCATTTCGTTCGTTTTGAGTTGCTTCTAGCTGCAGATAAAAACTAAAACTTAACTATAATATTCACTCACAAATAAGTTCTCTCTTCTCAAAGATAAGAAAAACTCTCACCTCTTGTTTGAGACCCTCGACATCCTGATCCTGGCCTAGAACAAGAAAGAGAAAGCAAAAAACATGAGATTCATGGTGTTTCGAGCCTCTACCTGATGGAATTAGCTCCGATTGCTTCGCGGAATTCTTCTCCGTCGCTTTCTTTTGCCGGATCTCCTCCAGCTACACTGGATCAACGTTAGAGCAATGCGGATTCCACGGCGGCGAGCTCACCTTGCGGCGCCCCAGCGAAGCGTGATGCGATTCCATGGACTGGACAGACAAAGCCCTAAATATTTTGTGCTAGAATAATTCCTATTTCCTCTCGAGTCGCGATGGTGGACTACAAGCTCCATTTCCGTCACCATCACTGCGCCTCGGAGGATTCACGACTATGCGAATGGAAATCTTCTCTGCGAGAATCCTTGCAATGAGTCTTCTTCCTTCCAAGAATTCTTTTGAGAGCAATCTCTAGCGCTGAGAAATAAGGTTTTTCTTGCTTGGATGGGAATACGCAAGTGGAAGATATCGCTCCTTCTGGATTTAATGTTCGTTTCACCGTCCATGAGTATGGTGGCGGAGCATTTACAGTGGAGGGAGAAAACGCTACGCTGTGTTCTCGAGCTTTTTCGATCATAGGCAAACATGGTTGGAGGTAAGCTACGCTTTCTTCCGTTGTTTCTATGCTTATTTCTTCTAGTTCTGAGTTTCTGTGATGGACAGGACGTTCTCCACTTCCTTTTCCTGAAGATCGCTATGCCGATGGGAGGTTTCGGTATATCACTGTTCGTGACGGTACTCCTAATGGATATTTGTTTCAATGCATCGCTGTTTCTAATGTTTTGTAGGTCACAGGCAAGGAAAGGAACCATGCGTTGATCTAAAACGTACCGCTTCTTGCTGGTAAGTTCCTTGTATGCTCAGCAGGCATGTTTTCATCTGATGGTTTTCGAATGATCTCTATACAGATCGAGTCCCGGTAAGCTAGCTTGGATTGAATGGTCTCATCCAAACAAGCCTTCGTATTCTGCTAGGCAAAAACGACCAAGAGTTTGCTCTTTTTCTCTTTCGTGCCTCAAAGAAGTTGCTGGAGTTCCTAGTTCTTCCCCATTGTCTCGCTAAAGTCGTGTTTCTCTACAGGAGATTCCAAGCTCTCCAAATTCGCTATCTCGAGCGTTTCCCGCTCATTTTGTTTCAAAGGTACGGCTCCACGTGGGCTCCACGCGGGCTCCACGCCAGCGGTAACCCTGCTCTCGAGCAAGCCCTAGAACCCTAGAATGCGAGTAGAAGGGGGGAAATGGTAGGCGCCATAGCGGGGCTCCAGGAGCATCTCAAGTTGGCGCGCGAGTACGCGCTGGAGGGATCTTACGACACTTCTATCATCTTCTACGATGGCGCAATCGCGCAGATCAACAAGTAAGTGGCCGTGTCCCTCGGCATCCGCCCTGCATTTCGATAGATCTGCCTCTAGCTCGCTTTGGGATGCCTGTGTGATGCTTGGCGGAGCTACATTGTGGGATTTCTCCCGGATTTCCTTGGTTTTGCTTGAGGTTTTTGTGATTGGAGCTGCTTAGACCATTTTGATACCTATGCTAGGAGCTGCATTGTCAAAGGATCCATTCTTTAGCTCAAGTTTCCTTCTATGTTGCTTCTGGAGCTAAAGAGTTCTTGGGCTTCTTGTGCTTGTTCAGTAGAAACTTTCTTTCAAAGCCTATAGTTTTTTTTTTATTCCAGGCATTTGAATACGGTGGACGATTCAAGTATTCGAGGGAAGTGGCTTAAGTGCAAGAAGGAGCTAGCAGAAGAAGTGGACCTTGTCAAGCAGCTGGATGCCGAGAAGCAGGCGTTCAAAGAGGTTCCAGGAGGCCCTGGCTCTCCTCGGCTGGTCTCAAAGTCATTCATGGCAATGAACTTTTCTGGAGAAGACAGCTATCCTGACGATCCGGATGTTTGGAGGCCGCCTGCTAGAGACGCTCGAGAACAATATGGAAGCAGGAGACCGACCAAGGCAGGCCAACTGGCGGCGCAAAAGTCCATGGGAGACAACCGCTCTTCTTCGTGGGCTCGGAAGAGTGGAGACAACAACAACAACAACAACAGCAAGATGGCAAGAGGTGGGAAAACAAGTGTTTCTGGTGCTTCTGGTCGAACAGCGGCCGCTGCTGGAGCGGCTGCAGGTAGTAAAGCTGCTGGTAACTCTTCTCAAGCCACCAGAAAGGCAACGAATACTGGAAGATCAACTCCGAGCAAGCGGGAGTCGACGGTAAGCGCCCGAATTTTCCCGTTTGTTGTTTGGTGTCTCATTTTGTCTTTCAGAGTGGAGAAGAGGAGGATGGTAAAGCCAGGAGGGGTCGCTACGATGGCCCTGATCAGGAGTTGGCTGCCATGCTCGAAAGGGACGTGTTGGAAAGCTCGCCGGGGGTGCACTGGGAGGACATTGCCGGGCTTAGTGAAGCAAAGCGACTGCTTGAAGAAGCCGTGGTTTTACCTCTCTGGATGCCTGATTTTTTCCAGGTGAGCTTGACTATGTCACTACCTAGAAGACTTAACGATTTTTTCTGTCAGGGAATTCGTCGTCCATGGAAAGGTGTTCTGATGTTTGGGCCACCAGGTACTGGGAAAACTCTCTTGGCAAAGGCCGTGGCTACTGAATGCGGGACGACGTTTTTCAACGTCTCCTCGGCAACTTTGGCTTCTAAGTGGCGTGGAGAAAGTGAGCGAATGGTCCGCTGCTTGTTCGACCTTGCCAGGGCCTATGCTCCGAGCACGATTTTCATTGATGAAATCGACTCCCTGTGCAACGCCCGAGGGTGAGAAGTTTTTATCCATCTTTTCTTCCCGTTAATCTTGCGTGATATATGCTATTGTGTTGTAGGGCATCTGGAGAACACGAGTCATCCAGAAGAGTAAAATCAGAGCTTCTGGTACAAATTGATGGAGTAAATAACAGCAGTGAGGATGGCGAGAAGAAGATTGTCATGGTACTGGCAGCTACAAACTTCCCGTGGGACATTGACGAGGCTCTCAGGTGATATTTGATATCCTCTCCAGTTTTGTTTTTACATACCACCATTGGCAGGAGGCGGCTGGAGAAAAGGATTTATATCCCACTTCCAAACCAAGAAAGCAGACGGGAATTGATTCGCATAAACTTGAAGAGCGTGGAGGTATGGAGTCGCAGATGCAGTTTCAGTCCTGTTTTATTCAAATACCTCGTATCACCAGGTGGCTCCGGATGTCGATATCGAAGAAGTAGCACGAAGAACAGAAGGGTACAGTGGAGACGACCTGACGAACATCTGTCGAGACGCATCCATGAACGGCATGCGGCGAAAGATTGCTGGAAAGACGAGAGACGAGATAAAGAACATGAAAAAGGATGACATCCACGACCCGGTTGCGATGTGCGATTTTGAGGAGGCACTGTCCAAGATCTCGAGAAGTGTGTCGATGGCAGACATTGAAAGGCACGAGAAGTGGCTCGCAGAGTTTGGTTCCGCCTAAGCATTAAACAGCAGCACCGTGTAAGCTAACAAGGTGCGTTTTCGATTTCATTCCGTAAGTTGCTTGCCGGGTTTTTGCTTCGCAGTTAGTGCACTATCCTCATAGTGTCTGTGGCTCCTGCAGAGAGAAACGAAGCATCGCCACTTCGACGTATCTGGTACGTAAGGCATGCAATCCCAAGCATCCCCGGCGGTACCAAAGTCCGAGATTATCGCGCCCTGAAGTTGGCTCTACACTTGAACATCCCTGGCGTGACTAAAAAGCAAGCAGGACAGAGAGCTGGAACATCTATGAGATGAAAAAAATGAAACAAGTTTTTCTCCTGGACACCATAGATTGAACAAGACACTTCTTTCCTCAGAGGTTAAGCTTAGGCTTAGTTGAAAGTTGCTTAATTGTAACATTTGCTCCTGTCATGTCCAGTAGTTTAGAAATCGTCCACCCTTATGCTTCTTTCTCCTCTCGTTTAGCCTCTTTCAGCAGAATGCCATCATGCAGATGCTCTACACAGCCACTCCACAAGCATTCCCAGATTTTTTAAAAGCAATCCACCACCTTACACTTCCACTAATTCCATCATTACTTCCATCCACAGTGTCTGCATGAGACTCTCAGCTTCTAATGATGCCTACCATCCTCCCACATCCTTGAATAATTATCCGGCTTATGCTTTTAATACTTTTGCTCTTAACTTTGAGAATAACAATAATAAGCTCATAATAAACCTTATTGAAAGAATAAACATTTATCTATACATTGATTTAAAAGAATTTGGATGGCTAACCATCATTATTTTAGCAGAGTTGGTAAGTGATTTACAATATATCGAATAAGAAAGAATATTCAATATTATTTATTGAATTTTACAGCAAAAATTAATATTTAATAAAAATATTTTCTTAAAATTGTAATAATAATAATACTCAGTAAATTTAATTAGAAAGTATTGGTTTAATTGATTAAAATGGTTTTTAACACCTAGATTAAAAAAGAATATTCTCAAAGTTGAATTTATCTAGATGCCCATCCTTATGCCACATGGGCATATGAATAGGTGTATATATGTTAACATCAAACATCTCACCTAGATCTCTATGGACCACAAATTTCCTAATGCAAAAGTTTTTATGTAATATATGTGTAAGCTGTAAATCTCCTTTTAACCTTTAACCTAGTCTAAGAGAATATTCTCAGAATAACTTTTCTTTTTCTTTTCAAGGTCAAAGTAAATAAGTATATTCTGGTTCTTTTGTCTTTCATTTCACACTTTCTTGCAATGCTCAAGAAATTAGCAGCTAGATCATTATTGTACTTGGATGTTATTTGTGAAAATAGTGTGGATTTCCAAAAGATGCTTCAATTGATTAAGTTCTGGTCAACACCTCTTAGTCTTGCTATTTTCAACAGCTATGTCATATTCTTTTTAGAAGTCTATAAAAGCATTGATGTCAATGCCAACCTCTTTATTATTGGGTTTACTTTCATGGTTCTGGAGGACCAAAAGGTCTGTCTTGGTTGAAGGGCTTAATACCTTCAATCTAGAATCCAGCCCAGCAATAGTGAGTTGACAGGAGAGTTCATATAGGGTGAGCTAGGTTGGCTTGGCTTTCACACTTTCTTGCAATGAAATTAGGCACCTCTACCCACACCTAAGATGCTGCAATTGATCACCATTCTTATTCTTGTTATTTTCAACAGCTAGATCATATTTTTCTTAAAATAAAAATAAAAATAAATATTTTTCTTTTAATTAGAATCCAGCATGAGCGGGCATGTCTTGGCTTGGGTTTGGCTTAATCTTAACCATATTTAAACTTAGATAATGAAAGGATGATCCAAGGAATTAGTCAAAAGCCATAAAAATCACAAACATCTACTCCATCACCTTTTTTCATTTCATGTTATTCCATTAACTTTGTTCTATTTGAAATATGAAACCAAAATGCTCACCTCTCACTTGTACAGTCCTTTTATAAAATGGGAATAGTGAATGGTTGGATATAAAGAGGTTTTCAAAGATTTTACATCAGTTTTTCATATATGTCTATTTGGTATATCAATTATCTTGTCTATAACCATAATATTTTTAAATTTTATTTATTATTTTTATATAATACTTTCAATTTATGAGTGCATAATATGAAAAGGAAATACAGAAATATATATATTAATTAGCCCAAAAACCCTAAGTTATATATAAGAGTGAGTGGTTCAATCTAACAAATATTAAAATCTCATTAAATTCATTGCATTTGAACCTCACAAATTCAAATAATTTAATATTTAAAGTCCTAGCATATAGTCGAGGTTTGCAGCGCCACGAACAGATCATTTTCGCCAGCGTCTGGAAATGGCGGCGGCGGTGCCTCCGCTTTGCCCTCCAGGATCTGCACCACGCGGCTCATCGCTGGCCTAGATCCTGGATCCTGGTGGATGCACGACAGCGCGATCTTGAGCGCCGTCTCGAATTGCTCCCAATCCACGCTGCCGCTCGCCAGGTTTGGATCGGCAACGCTCTCCAGCTCCGAGGTCATGTACTTATGGAAGGCGTAGATCGGGAAATACCACTCGCGGGGCGGTGGCAGTGGCGCATTCTCGTATTCTCTGTCTCCGCTGCCCAGCTCCATGAGGGCCTTCCTCTTGCCGCCCAAGATATCCAGCAGGAGCATCCCAAAGCTATAGACGTCGGCCTTGGGGGTGATGGATTGGCTCTCGAGCCACTCCGGGGCGAGGTATCCCCTGGTTCCTTGCACGGTGGTGATGCTCATCGATTCTTTTGTCATCATCCTCGCCAGCCCAAAATCGGACACCTTTGGCCGGAAGCTCTCGTTGAGCAGCACGTTTTGTGGCTTGATATCGCAGTGGACGATGCGCTCGCCACACTTCTCGTGGAGGTACGTCAATCCTTTGGCAATCCCCAGCGCGATTGAGTGTCGTGTCTCCCAGGTTGAGAAGATCTCTTGCGACGCAGCGAACGAGGACGAGGCCGAGAGGTGGTGGTCGAGAGAACCGTTTGGCATGAACTCGTAGACGAGGAGGTGGTGGTCTCCCTCGGCACAGTAGCCGAGGAGGCGGACCAAGTTGACGTGGTGTACTCTTCCAATCGTGCTCACCTCGGCCTTGAATTGCTTCTTGGCCTGGTTCACGGTGGTGATCTTCTTCACGGCCACAATGCCACCTTTCTCCGGTATGTTTCCTCTATACACGCTCCCGAATCCTCCCGAGCCTAACTCGTCGCGGAAGTTGTCTGTAGCATCCTGGAGCTGGCGATACGTGAACTTGGTCGGGAGCCCCTCGATCTCTGCCGTCATCTCCTCCCATTTCTTGCGGGAGGTTTTCTTCCACACAGCCGCCACGATCGCGGCTCCAGTGGCAAACAGCCCGAACTCGACGATGGCCACGGACAGAATGATGGACTGGAGGTGCCGCGAGAGGTAGACTGTCCGTTTATTTATCTTTGGCATGGCTTGGTCACTCACCGTGGCGTTTGCATCCGCGAGGAAGGGATCGTGCTGGTCGTCGGCTGCAGATGTGTCCAGGCTCGACAGCTTCATAAACACCATGTTCATCTCGTTCAAGGTCTGCTTACCGTTATAGAGCTTGTTGGAGTTGCCTTTGAGGAAGCACAAGCCCGTGCCGTCGTACTTGTACGCGGCTGCCAGGCACTTACAATCTTGCATGCAGGTGTCCTTGCACTTCTCGAGCGACTTGATGCTCGAGTCGAAGTTGTAATCGTTGAAGTAGTAGTCTGCTCGGTTCACCTGGACGAGCTTCACCGAGTTCGGGGAGTTTTGACAAGCTCCCAGAGGTATATCGTAGTCACAACCCTTCGATTCGTCGTTTGGATCAACTCGGTGAAATCCAGGAGGACAGCTGCAAATTTTTGTGGGCCTGTAGGTGCAGAGAGCGAAAGGTCCACATGTTCCAAAGATGTCGCACTCGAGCATGACGGCTTGCCAGACGACGCTCCAGGAGCCACTCTTGTTCTTCGGGCCGAAGCTGTAGATCCTGAGATTGCCATCGTCGTCCAGCGTAAGTCTCCTCAACACATTCGCATCGTCATAGTCAAGCGCGTAGTCTTGTGAACTCATTGATCCTGATGCCCAGCTCTTTCCAGTTGCGTCGTAAAAGGAAAGGACCCCTTGAGAGCTCAAGTTCATGACGGCCGGGAACTTGAGAGAACGATCAGGCTGGCAAGCATTGTTGTTCAAGACGTGCTCTCCGGTTTCGTCATCCAGGCAAGTCATGGTGGAGTTCAGTGTCGGATTCGCGATAGACCAGTACTTTTGCGGGATCTCCAGCTTTAAGTTCTTGAGCAGCACCTGACCACTGTTGAGAACAAGCTGGTATGCTCCAGACTGGGAAATCAACCTCATGTATCCCAAGGACGGATTTCCTTGCGTGCGGAGCTGCTGCTCGGGCAAAAGGTTGTTCGTTGGAGAGTCGAAGCTCTGCCATGCAACTTTCTTGTCTTTCCCAAGGACAACTAAGTTCCCGTTCTCGAGCAGCGCAGCACTTTCAGCACAACACTGTCCGGGATTGGTTTGCCACAAGGGGACGGAGCTGCCATCAGTGACGGAAAGTCCTCCCTCGGCTTTCAACTCAAGCTTGGCATTTTCACTCACCTGGATCAGCTGCCCGTTTGCCATTGCCATCCAGATGACAGTCTTCTTCGGATCTATATCATACCAGATCGCTAGATTGAAGTTCCGGGTGCTCATTACAAATCCAAATCCAAAGGTTCCTCCGGGTGATCTCCAAGGGCTTCCTGTTGTGACAGTGCTTCCGCGCAAGAAGTCGGCGAGGACTCTGCTGTAGTAAATCGAAGAGAGCAGCAGCATGAGAGTAAGTAGTTTCATGTTTTCCAAAGCTTTCTCTCACCAAGTTTTTCTTCTTTTTGGCAGTTCTATCGTTTTAAGCTATGTGATTCTTTCGTATGGAGTTACGTTCCCGGATTGAATTGATCAAAGCCCAAGTCAATCGTTGTGAAAGTCAGCTACTTTCAAGTTGACTTTGCTTTCACTACTATTATGTTAGAAAGACAACACGTTCTTGTGAGGTATGATCAGTTTTCTTTAAAATTGTTTTTAACGCCTTGAATTCGTAACAAAAATCAGAAGGATGTGAGAAATCATGGAGGATATCTCGCAGTTGACATTGACCAAGTCAAATTGTAGTTCTAGGTTTTGGAGTTCACTCTTTACTCTCGCAATCTGATGGGAGGCCACTGAAGTGCTCATCAAGAACAATAGTACGACTGAGAAACGGAGGATCAAAGTAGGCAAAACTGGAGAGCTCGATCTTAAAGAAATTGGACTCGTGATTACAGACAAGTCCATGATAGTATGGCTTGTCCGCTGTGATAATTGTTCTATCACCGCCGCATCCTTGCAAGAAACTGGCAACCTCGTGCTGCTTGACCGTAGCTCGGACAGGATTTGGCAAAGTTTTAACTTCCCAACAGATACCCTCCTTCCAGGACAAGAACTTCGTGAAAATACGAGTTTGGTCGCTGGAAAATACCGGCTTAGCATGAACAGGCAGGGTATTGAACTTTACTTCCAAGACTACTTGAATCAATCCTACTGGGGCATCATCAACAAGCAGCTCAACACCTCAGACTTGACAATGACTTCCACTCCGAAGTTCACTTTCGGCATCGATGGTCATCTTGCCTTTTTTTATGCCAACGGAAGCTCCTGGTACCGCTACAAATTCGACAACGCTCAAAAGTACCCGATAGATCTCGGCAATACGAGCGGAGTCTCACGCTGGAAAAAAATGGAACGTTGAGGAGTTATAGCTGTGGCAGCGGAGAGTGGTATGGCAGTCGGCATTGCTCGTGGAGCTTTTGGCTTGTGTGGATACAAGCCGAGGAAGTGCTGTTCGTGTCCACCGGGATTTCATGCTGTGGATTCCAGTGAATCGGCCGGATGCGTCCGCAACTTTTCCACTCAGCTGTTCTTCTGGCAACGCTACTTCTTCTGCGAGCAAGATGGTGGAAGTTCCGAGGGCCATGTACGTTGGAAATCTTTTGCAACAACTATCCAAAGATCCGATTTCCCTCGAGCAGTGCAAGGACTCTTGTTTGAAGGATTGCCGCTGCCTGGGTGCTACGTACATGCTCGCGGGGACAAAACGGTGTAGTCTTCTTGGTGGTGAAGATGGAAAACTCTTCAATGGTGTCCAGGGAATGGAGCGGACCTCCATCGCACTTCTCAAAGTTTCGGCACTGGATCCATCGACAACTTCTTTCTCCGAGGACGTGTTTGTGACGGTCCTGGATACCGATTCCTTGAGAAATTGGAGTTACTTCTCCGACGCGGGTATCGCAATTGGAGAGCTCGCCCTTTTCTTGTGCATTGCGGCGGCGGCGTGGTTCTGCTGGCGAAGATCACTTCGTGGAATGTGGAAGAAAGCCTCCAAGAATCACCGCGGCCCGACATGGTTCTCGTACGAGCAGCCGGAAGTTGCCACAAACCATTTTAGCTGCAAGCTCGGGGCCGGTGGATTCGGAAGTGTTTACAAGGGTGTTCTTCCGGATATGACGGTGCCACGGCGAGAAACACGACCCTTGGAAGGGTTCATCACGTCAACTTAGTGAAACTTTTGGGCTACTGCGCTGAGGGAAGCCATCGTTTACTCGTCTACGAGTTCCTGAGCAACGGATCACTGGACCAAGAGTGTATCGATCTCTGGGGAACGAGGTATGTTCGTGATCTTTCCAAAGTTTGTCTACTAAGTTGGTTCGCAGGTTCTCGATTGCTCTTGGTGTTGCAAAGGGCATCACGTACTTGCACGAGTGCTACGATTGCATCCTCCGCGACATCAAGCCGCAAAACATTCTCCTCGACGAGAACTTCTGTCCAAAGGTGTTGGACTTTGGCCTGGCCAAGCTCATTGACAAAGAGCGGGCTCTCGACGTGACCACCATCCGAGGAACTCGAGGTTACATGGCACCCGTGTGGGTCGGTGACCGTCCCATCACTTCCAAAGTGGACGTCTACAGCTACGGCATGGTGCTACTGGAGCTGCTCAGTGGCAACGACAAGTCGAGAATCGGCCAGAACCGCTACTTTCCAGTGTGGGCTTTCCAAAAGTACGTGGCCGGAGAGCGGGTCGAGCTGGATGCATCAAAACGCCACCTTGATCATCCGCTCGAACTCGTTCCACTCCAAGTTTTTAAGCCCCGGGTCCGCAATGGCGTGGACAGCTCCAGGCCGGTGGTGAAAATGCTGGAGCAGCCCGACTTGGAGGTGGCTGTGCCGCCGTTTCCAACGCCAGCGTCGGAGAAAGTGCTGAGCGGGAATAGTCCGAGCTTTCTTCCTCCACTGTCACAGTCGGTGATCGATCCAGGCTGACGTCTTGCGTTCGCTTTCTCCGTCAAACAAAGTGTGGCTTGACGACGGAAGAGCAGCCCACAAACGTCCAAGGAGGTCATTTGGACTCTGCGGAGGAGCAACGACATGACGCCTCGGCGATCCTATGGGGCCGTGAACAGCAGATGGACTTCCTTTCTTTGATGGCTCTCCAGAATCCCCACTGTCCTGTGTAGCATCCACCTTTGTGGAGGCTGTGGGCTTCACACGACCAGGACCACCCTGTAACAACTGAAGGAGCTCGGAACCATTGCCGTGGAATTGTGGCGTGTCATCCTTCTCAGGTGTAACCGATCTCCTCGGCTGCTCTGGGGCGCGTTTGGAGTCCGAGGTCTCTGCCGCGCTGGGTCCAAACACCGGAGACTCGAAGTGAAGGCCAGGACGAGCTTTAAGCTCCCCAGAGGAATGCGGCGGATGAACCACATTATCAGCAGGCTGGAAAGTCGGAGCATTTGGAAAAGGATACGGCACTGGCGGATGGAACGGTCTCTCGACTGGAAGAGGAGCAAACGAGCGTAGAAATCAGTGGTCCGACGGAGTCAAGAATGGATCCGAAGGGAAAAGTGGGTCTTGGTGCTGCTGGAAGTGAGGTGACCACCCACCAAATCTTATTGCTGGGACGTGGAGTGGTCGTGGAGGAGGACCTTCTCCTCCTCCTCCTCCAGGTCCTCCAGAAGGAGCAAAGCTGTGGCAGGGACCGTGAGCTGCGACTGCTGGGTCCTGTCGCTGCTACTGCTCCTCAGCTGCTCGTCGCCCCCACCGCTCGAGAAAATGGAGTAGCAAATCGCCGCTGGGAGACGACACATCCAGGCCCAGTTCATCCTCGGCCTGAGTAGTGGCAGTCAAGGCGGACAAGCTGGGAGGAACTTGTGGCGGATTCCACGTCATGGCTGACTTCCAGCTCCCTATGAGAGAATCACTGCCCGCTACATGACTGATCACCCCAGAAACCCGAAACTCTAGAATGCGCCCCGGCTTTCTAGCCGCCCCAGCCGCGGAGACGAGAGGAATCGACGCGATCGCCTGCAAAGCCTCAGCGTTCAGCTCAATTTCCTAGAGATCATATGCTTGCATGAATCTAGATCGGCTACTCCGGCTCTAGGCCAGCGAAATCGCGGCGCGGCGCCGGCGCCGGCGCTGCTGCTGCTTCTCGAGGCGATCCTAGCATGCATACCTTGCTCGTCGCCGATGCTGCCGGAATCAAACGCGCTTGCGACGCGATCGCCAGCTCCTTCACTGTCCGCCATAGCCGCGAAGAAACCTAGAAGTGCTTGTACCCTAGCCAAAGCTCCTATACGCATAGCCCACATTCATTGAACTATCCGAAGAATATACGCGCCGATGCTAGAAGCATATTCCCCTCTTTAACTGATATAAGTTAAAAAAATCCAGTTCTTCTCATCTAAATAGCATTTTGAGCTCCTCGATTCGAGCGCTTCGCACCTCTTCGTCTGTGAGAGCCCCCGCGATCAATCGCTGCTTCCTCTTGGATCCTGCTTTAGAGACATGAGAAACGTCAAAGAGAGTTTCAACTCGCGCTTACTTTGACGATGAATCGCTTGATCGATACGTTCTTCGTCTGACCGATGCTCGATCGTCCACATTCTCGACTCGGAAGATGGCTAAAAAAGAAAACTATAGCGCGTACCATGAGAAAAGCATGAGCATGACCTGTCCACAAAATAGAGTGGTTTCTTGGAGGTAAGCAACACAAAAAGCTTACGGCCACGGCTGGAATATTGCCGAAGTTTTTGAGCACTTGTTCTCGCTGACGCTGCGATAGCGTTCCGTCCAAGCGGACGAAACAGAAGTTCTTCCTGGCAGTGCATTGTTAGAAACACAAACAAAGAGAAAGCACCAAAAGGAAAGACGTTCGTACCTTTTCAATGGTATCTCTAACAAGTCGAGAAACGCTGTCCACTGAGCCGGGCGAAGCTGCGGAGGTCTTTCGAGGAGAAGCAGGGCTCTCGACCAGCAGTGCCGTTTCGGATATGGTTTCAGGCTGGTCTCCCCGCCGCTTTGAGCGCTTTGATGGGAGAAGCGATGCGCTGTGGAAGCCAGAGGAATGGACTGAGGTGATAAGGGTGTGTGCAAAGGCGCCGGATGGTGTGGTGCCCAAGTGCGAGCTCAAGATCGCACAAGATAGTGTTGACTCCATGATCGAGCACAATCTCCTTCAAGTGCAGCCTGTTATCAGCTGGGCTGAGAGCAGGACTGATCAAGACTTAGATTCCTATCCGCTTGTCATGCCAATGACAAAGGCAGAGCACCATGGGATGAAGCGGCTAGCCTCTCATTTACCGCAATGCACTGGCCAACAGCACCCCGAGCACCGCGTCTGGCGTCTGCACGACCGGCACCTCGACGCCTCCTCTAAAGTCGTCGCCTCCGGGCTCAAATTCGGCCTCTCCATTTACGTATCTCCCACGATAGTCCTGTAGTCTTCCGGATGCTGAGTTTGTCCTGGGGTTAGAGTCGTTATAGTCGTAGCCGTTTAAAGGTAGTGCGAGGCGGCAGGCTCCGATCCCCTTCGCTTCAAAAGTGCGAAACCAGCAGCTCCACCTCCATCGACTTCCCGGGACATCTCGTTCACTTCAACGCCAAAGCTCCGGGCTGACGCCTTGCGCTCGCTTCCTCCGTCAAACAAAGTGTGGCTTGACGACGGAAGAGCAGGCCACAAACGTCCAAGGAGGTCATTTGGACTCTGCGGAGGAGCAACGACATGACGCCTCGGCGATCCTGTGGGGCCGTGAACAGCAGATGGACTTCCTTTCTTTGATGGCTCTCCAGAATCCCCACTGTCCTGTGTAGCATCCACCTTTGTGGAGGCTGTGGGCTTCACACGACCAGGACCACCCTGTAACAACTGAAGGAGCTCGGAACCATTGCCGTGGAATTGTTGCTTGTCATCCTTCGCAGGTGTAACCGATCTCCTCGGCTGCTCTGGGGCGCGTTTGGAGTCCGAGGTCTCTGCTGCGCTGGGTCCAAACACCGGAGACTCGAAGTGAAGGCCAGGACGAGCTTTAAGCTCCCCAGAGGAATGCGGCGGATGAACCACATTATCAGCAGGCTGGAAAGTCGGAGCATTTGGAAAAGGATACGGCACTGGCGGATGGAACGGTCTCTCGACTGGAAGAGGAGCAAACGAGCGTAGAAATCAGTGGTCCGACGGAGTCAAGAATGGATCCGAAGGGAAAAGTGGGTCTTGGTGCTGCTGGAAGTAAGGTGACCACCCACCAAATCTTATTGCTGGGACGTAGAGTGGTCGTGGAGGAGGACCTTCTCCTCCTCCTCCAGGTCCTCCAGAAGGAGCAAAGCTGTGGCAGGGACCGTAAGGTGCGACTGCTGGGTCCTGTAGCTGCTACTGCTCCTCAGCTGCTCGTCGCCCCCACCGCTCAAATGGAGCAGCAAATCGCCGCTGGGAGACGACACATCCACGCCCAGTTCATCCTCGGCCTGAGTAGTGGCAGTCAAGGCGGACAAGCTACTTGTGGCGGATTCCACGTCATGGCTGACTTCCAGCTCTCTGTGAGAGAATCACTGCCCGCTACATGACTGATCGCCCCAGAAACCCCGAAACTCTAGAATGCGCCCCGGCTTTCTAGCCGCCCCGGCCGCGGAGACGAGAGGAATCGACGCGATCGCCTGCAAAGCCTCAGCGTTCAGCTCAATTTCCTAGAGATCATATGCTTGCATGAATCTAGATCGGCTACTCCGGCTCTAGGCCAGCGAAATCGCGGCGCGGCGCCGGCGCTGGCGCTGCTGCTGCTCCTAGCATGCATACGTTGCTCGTCGCCGATGCTGCCGGAATCAAACGCGCTTGCGACGCAATCGCCTGCTCCTTCGCTGTCCGCCATAGCCGCGAAGAAACCTAGCTATGACACATTGAAGAATATACGCGCCGAAGCTAGAAGCATATTCCCCTCTTTAACCTGATGTAAGTTAAGAAAATGCTAAGGACTCCAGTTCTTCTCATTTAAATAGCATTTTGAGCTCCTCGATTCGAGCGCTTGGCACCTCTTCGTCTGTGAGAGCCCCCGCGATCAATCGCTGCTTCCTCGCTTGGACCTGTTGCATTCTCTCCTCCACCGAGTCCTGCTCTAGAGACATGAGAAACGTCAAAGAGAGTTTCAAGTGGCGCTTACTTTGATGATGAATCGCTTGATCGATACGTTCTTCGTCTGACCGATGCTCGATCGTCCACATTCTCGGCACTCACGGCACTTTCAATGTAAGAACTGCGTCCTCTGGCATCTCCAAACAAATTGGGCACTCAGCACTTTCTCCTTTACGAATACCACCTCTTTGACATACGCCGTCGAAGGCACCTGGGAGGAATTCTTGTCCAAGAAACGTCTAGCCAGCTTTCCCAGGTCCGCAAAGTCTTCAGTATCGCCACGGCTGCGTGACGAAGAAAACGTGAGGAACTTCAGACATAAGAGGATGCATTTTCTACCTCAGAACAAGAAAAGGATGATCACAAGCTTGCCGTAATCGAAGTAGCAGTTCGAGGATCGAGGCATAGTTATGGAGAACTTTACCTTGTTCAACGAACTGATCGAATTTTACCTGATCACAAATGCAAAATCGTGTTCAGAAAAAAGAGAAAATAAAAGAAAGAGAAGTTCTTCATGCCTTAGATCTGTGGTAAAGGGCATCATAAAAATCACGTTCAGGCTCAGATAGTTTGCATTCAATAACTTCACATTGAGCCGGTTGGAGAACAAGAATTGGTCTGTGAATCCAACTTGTGAGTGAATACAAGACAAGGCACGGTGAGTGAATACAAGACAAGGCACGGTGCAAAGAAAAAAATGCTTACCTTCCTTCTTTATCAGTTGAATCTTTTGTTCTTCGAAGCATTACCGGCTTCAAGATAGCTTGCAGAAGCTTCAATCCGCGCTCAACCCCCTCCTCGTAAGGCTTCTGACTTGTTGATATAAACTCTGCAAGCACATCATATACGTAACGTCTCTGGTAAACACAGAAAACTCTACCTCAAATGGAGAACTATGCTGCTCATAAGAGAAAGAGCCTCTGGTGCCATTTTGCACTTCCCAAAGGTATCAAACACTTGGCGCAGTCGGCTGGAAGCCGTCCTATCTGTGAGCAAATGGTTAGAAGTAAAACGAAGAAACAAGTCAAGTGAAACGTACCTCTCCTGAAGCTTTTGTCAAGAACCTTACAATATCGGAGCTCACTTTCGGCCGAACCTTCTTGTGCTCAAAGAAATTCTTCTTACTTTCGGCTTCAGGCTTGGGAAAACTGAAGGAAATGAACTCGCCAACACGAATCCGGCATCCCCTGGACGTCGAGTACCCGGCAACTTCAGTCTCTTGGAGAAGCCACCACCTCTCAACATCTAAAACAACCCCCGAATGGAGTTTCAAGTTTCACAGTATCATAACGAGGGTCCATCTTCACCGAGCCAACCAGAGCTTCGACTCTTGCAGACTCAAAACCAGCTTCCATTTTCACCAATCCATCTACTTTCATAGGATCACATCCAGCTGCGATCGAAACCGAAGCTTCAGCTTTCACGGAACCACAACCAGCTTTCATCTTAACGGGATTACCGTGGGTCAAGGCACTACCTCTGATTGAAAGTCCAGCTAAGGCGCTAGAAACAGCCTCGCCATGTTTCCTGACAGTCTCAATGGAGCTCTCCACCACTGTTGTTCTTTCCACCTCGGCATCGTTTCCTCCTCCAGTCATGATCTTGTTTACCTCTTCTTCCCCACCATCGATTGCTCCACTTTCTACTCCCGAATCGTCTAAATCCTCTGCTCCACTATCATTGCTCACCTCGGCAATTTTTGCTGTCCTAGAAGCCTCAGCTTTTGCAGGAGTTTTTGGCGATCCACTGCCGATGGAACATTTTGCCCCAGGGGCCTTTGTTGTCACCGTAACGCTGGCTGGGGCTCCTCGCCTTGGCACTGCTCGTCGGAGCCTTAAGCTGGAGCCTCTTCCTATTTCGAGCCCCATTACCTGTGTAGCTCCAGAACGCCGATCAAGGCCGCCCCCCAGCGCCGTCTCCTCGACCACGCGGGCAATAGAAAACCTACGTCGCCTCCAAGAAAGAACCCTAGAATGGAGAAGTAGAGACGATAGCGCGGGAAAATGTAGCGGGAAGCCCCAATCAATTGCGCGCCAGCATCGCGCATCTGATCGACGACCTTCTTCTTCGCAAATCCTGGAGATCACGTCCGGGCGGGAATAGAATGATATGGAGCACCCATCGCCAGGATCGCATTGACTGGGCGATTGCGGATAGAATCTAAGATCTTTCAAGACGTCGGTGACAAGATCGCCCGGATCCCATCAAAGATCGGCAGAGGAGCCCTCTATTCCCGTTCGCCTGGATCAACGCCGTACAAGAGAAAAGACGATGTTCTTCTCGGGCGTGTCGCATCTCTCTGCGCCATCGCTCTCTCGCCGCCTCGCCAAGAGAAATTGGGGCTTAGGGTTCTTGCTCAAAAGATCTCCGCCGTCCATTTTCTGGCTATGGCGTTTAAGATGCCCGTTTTTAGGCCAAAGACACAAGTACTTTACGTGCTCCACGTTTGTCTGTTTGTACAAATAGAGGTGTTTCTTGCGAGCGATGTAGCGATCGTTGCGGTGCTCACTGTGAATCTCTTAGAGTGAGTGAGTCACAGCTGTGAAAAAAGTGAAGAATTCCGATCTACAAGGTCAAGAGTTAATATTGTGCTTCTTTCTGGGAGGGAGACAACCTTTACTTGTAGGTCTACAGCCATGGAGGTTGTGGGCTCCTTGACAAGCGTCTTGGCAAGCGCCTTGTGTGGCTTGGCTCTGGGCCCTGCTAAGAAGATATGGGACTGCAATGCCAACATTGAAACGCTGGAGAACAAGGCGCACCACATCCAGGCCAAGATCAACGCTTTCAGTGATCACAAGCAGTAGAAAAAAAATTCTATCAATAAATGCAAGTAAAAAGCCTTAACCTTCCTATGTTTTATGTTTATCAAATGTTACTTATAGGCCTAATCCCAAAAAGCATTACGGATTGGGCAATTTATCTCCTCTACCTCCATTATGAATTTGCTAAATAAAGACTTGAAAAATACCTCAAAAAAAATATTTATAACAATATTATGTTTTTGAAAGAAAGCAGCAAAAAACCACAAGGCTGACAACATTAAAAACACTAAAAGATATGTGATAATCGTGTATTTTTAAGTTTCACAAGTTTTGCAAGAATGTGTTTGCCTTGTAATGTTGATTGTAATATTTGTCTGGGGATTAGAATCACTAGATTAGCTAGAAAATGACACATCTCAATGGTTCATACCAAACTAAATCAAAAAGGAAAGAAAAATTATTGTTGTCTATCATATGTTGCAACAAGGGCAACAAAAGGTTATTTTTTCACCAAATCTACTTTCTATAAGCATAGGCAAACACTTACTCTCACTAAAAATGCATAAGTTAGCACGGTGACAAATAATAGAGTGGATTTGGGGGGAAAGTCAGAACCATATAATCTAGCAAATGGGTTTGGATATGATTTGTGAGAGAACATTATATTTGTCATTAGTGATGTTGGAATGAGTGATGAATAGTTTACCTAATGATAATTTGGTTGAAGAAAATGTCATGAAAGAGGAAGAATTAAAAATTGTGGCAATACATGCTAAAATCATAGTGCAAAAGCAAAACACAACTATGGTGGTAGGTTTGTAATAATCATATTATATTTCATGCTTATAACTATATGGTTTTCCAAGTGATATATATTTTACTCAAATTATAAAGATATTCTTAGTTGGGATTAGGGGTGCAATTGAAATCTTTATTTGTGTTAAATACTACTAGTGAGAAATTGTCTATCTGTCTATTTCTTTGGTAGAAGCTAATAATTTTTTCTCAGTTACTATGTAGATGAACTAAGAAGAACTCTAATGAAATATCACCACATAGGTTCTCATATTCTAGTTTTAGGGAATATTCAGTTTAATCATATTTGCATCTTACTAATGGATGCTCTAGTTAGAGAAGTTTGCATTGTGCCATACTATAACAATGTTTGGAATTACTTTTATTTAGTTTTGGATGTAGTTTATCACAAATTTCCAGAAGGTGCCCACAATAAGGACACTACTATAGAAGTAACAATAAAGACAATTTTATAGAAGTGGCAATTGATTATATTATGAGGATCCAAGGAAGAATTAAATATGTGGTAAAGGTGTTTGCAATAGAACATTTATATGTTATATGTATGGAAGTTGTAACCAACAATCCCAATTCATATAGAATTAAAAAAGGACATTCTGCAGCAAATAAAAACAATATAAATTTTTTTATTTTCTTATTGAAGTGTGGGAATTTTTTCATAAAAGTTCCAGTCAAAAACATCATATGTTTGTTAAACAGCACAACCTATGCTCTTATCAAAAGAATATTGTCATATGAATAAATTACATGAATGTACATCTTTTATGTAGTTGAAAATCCATAAGGAAAATCAAGTTTTAGTCCAATTTTAAAATAATTCTTGATGTCCTTAATATTATAAATCAAGTTCCAGAGTGTTAACTATATTAAAACATATAAACTATCCTAGTTCAAAAGTAAAACCATATACATTTCTAGTCTCAAAAATAGTGAAGAATGACCCAGAGTACGCTTTCCTGACCCAAAGCAATCAAACACGTGGCCCAGTCAGCTGGAAGGCGTCCTATCTGTGTGCAACTAAAACAAAGCGACAAAAGTTACCTCTCCTGGAGAAACTTACAATGTCGGAGCAATGAGAGAGAGAGAGAGAGAGAGAGCCACAGCTGGCATTGCAAGAGGGAGGGTGCTGCACGAGGCCCTCTACTACGGGCTCTACTGCAAGCAATCAACTCCAATTAAACTCAAGTCACTTGTAACAGCTTATACCTCTCTGAGAATTACTGTTCATTTTAAGAGGGGTACCAAGGCCAAGAGTTCTGGGAGACGACGTTTACTTGTAGGTCTACAGGCATGGAGGTTGTGGGCTCCTTGACAGGCGTCTTGTGTGGCTTGGCTCTGGGCCCTGCTAAGAAGATATGGGACTGCAATGCCAACATTGACACGCTGGAGAACAAGGCGCCCCACATCCAGGACAAGATCGAAGCTTTCAGTGTTCACAAGCAGCAGAATCCTGGCTTCACGTTCTCTGAAGCGGCCGAGAAATGCTTGGAGCGTGTCAGGACATGGAACACCACGGCACAAGCACTCTTGCGATCACGCCACAACAGGATCTGGAGCCCCATAAAGCGGTCGGTACAGTAGCATTTTATCTTTTGTGTGTGTGTGTGTGTAGAAATGGCAGGCAGCTGGTTGAACTTCTCCACTTCCTATAGGTACAAGCGGAGTAACGAGATCGCGAAGTCCTTAAGTGCCTACGACGATCTCCTGTCGCAGATCCAAGGTCACGAGCATGAGCTGAATGTCCACATTGAGAAGCTAGAGAAGAGGGCATCCAGAATCCAGGCCACGCTTGACAAGTTTAATGCTCCCAAGCACAGGAATCCAGATTTCCGCTACTCTGGTGAGGCTGAGGCGTGGCTGACTGAACTGACTGAATGGACTAAGAAGGCGCAAGCACTACGGTAAGGCTTATTCGAATTCATGTTTGAAGCAATGAAGCTAAAAGATGGATCTGTCGCGCAGGGAGAAGCGATCTGGCGCGATTTCGGAGCTGGTACGCACTTGCGAGGACGATCTCCTCCCGCACATTGAAAGGTACGAGCGAGAAGAGTTGAGAGTGATACAGCGGAGCACCAGCTTTTCCGTACGGAGTTGTCCACAAGACAGAGGTCTCGTAAAGTATGAACGGCGTGGTGTTCCCGAGGCCAACGACATGTTTGGCCGCCATGGGGAGCAGGTGGATGAGGTGGTGAATGCCCTCCTGGATCCACACCCGGGGAAATGGTTTGGACTCCTGGGAATGGGAGGGTGTGGCAAGACCACCCTTGCAAGATTCGTGAACAATGACCAGAGGGTCCGGCAGCATTTCCATGACAACATTGTATGGATCACTGTCAAGAAAGATGCATCGGAGGATGATCTCAGGGCCCAGCTCCTCAACGCTCTTGAATGGGGCGGCATGAAAGAGAGGGCCCAAAATGCAGGCACCCTTGAGCATGTGCAGCACTTGGCACAAAATGTTGCTCGTGGAATTCGTGTCTTGCTGATACTGGATGATGTGTGGGACATGAGCTGGGCCGAGGGACTGGATTTTATAACAGGGCCGTCCTCTTACAGCCGGGTGCTGGTAACAACCAGAAAGGAAGACATTTTGAGCATGCTGGGTGCAAAAATATTTCGTGTGTGTAAGCTATCAAAGGCCGAGAGCGAAAAGATGTTTTGGAAGTTTGCCTTTCGTGATTCACTACCTAGTGATCCGGACATTGTGGAAGTTGCCGAGAGAATAGCTAGCAAATGTGAGGGGCTCCCTCTAGCTCTTGAAGTGATTGGCAGTGCCATGGCTGTCTACAGGAATGAGGGGCCACAGGTGTGGGAAGAACGCTATGAGAAGATGCATTTGTTGAATGACGGGGACATTGAGAAGCGGATGTTCCAGCGCTTGAAGTTTAGCTATGATGAGCTGGGACGCTTTAATAAGGATGAAAAGCTGCAAGAGTGCTTTCTCTATGTGGCTGCGTTTCCAGAAGATGAGCGAATCCAGTTTGATCATCTGAGAAAATGTTGGATAGCGGTTGGGTCAGAACTCTCGCCTCTGCAGATTGTTAGTGAACTGGAACGAAGATGCCTAGTGAAGACAACTAGTATACTTCGGGAAAAGTATGTAACTGTGCACGACATGGTACGCAAGCTGTGCATAAGAATCTTGAAAGGGAAGTACCCACCCCAGGAAGAGCACGAGAAGGGATGCCTGTTTGGCTATGATTGTCCACCTGGGATTTCTCCAACATTTTCTAAAGTTTCATTCATTGGAAAGAAGGTTACAAGCAGCCTTTTGTCTGACATTCATGTGCGAGATGTCTTGCTTCTCGATGGACCTCATGAAATTTCTGGTTTGGATATAGATCACATCCAAAATGTCAAGGTATTGAGCTTGAATGGATGCTATAATTTGGCCCGTTCTATTCCAGAGAGCATATCCAAGCTGAGAAACCTTCAAGTGCTTCACCTTCCATCCTACGATGATGTGCCTCAATTGCCAGATGCGCTCTTCAGCTTGACATCACTGAAGGTTTTGAAATGCAAGGCTACCAGAAATCTCAACTTTGCATTACTGCCCCAATTATTCGACTTGGAAGAGCTGGAGCTTGTATCCTTTAAGGAGTTAGCTCTGGCTGTGGATTTGAGTGGAATTTCAAGCCTACACAAGCTAAGACATTTAACGCTAACACTCTACAATGCAACAATAAAAATACCTCGCAGCCTTGGTGCACTAGTGGACATTGAGAAACTGAAGTTGTGCGCAAAGAGCATGGACTTTGGCGATTTCACCGGCCCGTGGCAACTTGTCAATCTGAAACGATGTGAGATTATGGTGAAATCGACTATCAAACTTGACTGGAAGCGAATGTTTAAGAATTCCAAACAGCTTGAGGGCTTTTCGATTGACGGGGTTCAAGACGGTGAAAACAATGCCGAAAGCCTTGAATGGCCACAGCTACAATTGTTAACCATCAGGAACAATGAGACAATGAAAGACCTGTCCTGGTTAAAGGGCTTTCAGCGGCTACGAGAACTTCACCTAGACTGCAGTGGTATCCAGTTCTTCAGTCTGGATGGATCGTTCCCATGCCTTGAATTTCTGGGCCTTGAAAATCTACACATTGCACAGTCGGAGTTCAAGGATGATTTGGCAGCAAGTCTTCCAAATCTGAAGAGGTTAACATTCGTTGTGGCTCTTGATAATACATGGGAGCATTTGCCTCTCTTTGTGACACAACTCCCCAAAGACCTTGATGAACTGGATGTAGAAGGTTACATGAGGAGACTCTTGATGCCAACCGAGAGATCACAGCTGAAGGTGAAATGCGTCACATTATTTTTGTGGAAGGGCTGTATCCCCAATGATTTCTTTGAGCCAACAGACCAGATGACTCTTTTAAGATGGGCGCACTTGATGGGGATCAAAAATATTCCATCATCCATTGCATCCCTTCCAGGATTGGAGGAACTTGAGCTCTCTGGTCATGATGATGTAGTGTGGCCCCAATTGAGTTCAGACGATCACGGCCTTGGCTTATTTCCCAGGCTCAAAGTCCTACGCTGCCTAAAAGCTACGAAAGTTCCACCATGGCTTGAGGAGCGGCCGGATCTCCAGATAAAATTCTGGGATTAAACCTTGCTCCTTCAGTGGACATCGATTGGGTTCTCGATCTGCGCAAATGCTACACTATTTTGCATAACTCAAAAAACAAAAACAGAGATTTCCAAGCCGTCAGCAGCGTTTGGAGAAGACATAGTTTCTGTTTTGCTTACAAATCGTATTCTCAGGATATTACTTTACTCTCGTGGTTTTGAGTATTTTAAAATCTGGTGTATAGAGTAAATGGTAAAACATGGAAAACATAACAATATTAAGAATATGCATATGCATACCTTTAGTTCTTCAGAGGTCCTGAAACGGTTCTCCTTCGGCTGTAACCAGAGATACAAACACATGAAAATAAAGAAAGAAAAAAAGCAAGCACAAACCTTGTCAAACTGTGGAGTGTTACCCTCACGACGGTGACCGTCAATTTGTAGCTCCTCGAGATCTAGAGAGGTCGTCACGCCTTCTCCTTCCAAAGCATCTAGATTATGGAGCCTCTGTTTGGACTCCTCAAAAGCCGCGCCAACGGAAGAGTTTTGCGTACTTCCCGATGGCAAGCCTGGACGTTCAAGTTGAGATGCCAAAGACCGTGCCTTTGGAACCTTGTAGTCCGGTTTTTTCTCCGCTGGAAATGCTGCCTTTGAGTCGGCCTGTTTTATCCTCCATTCCTGTTGATGTTTTCTCCTAGCATTCGACTAAGTCCCGTTTCAAGATTTAAGCGACTCGTCCCTTCCATCAGAGATATCGCAGGACGTGATGTCACTTGGCTCAGCATCTTTATGCCTCTCATTTACCGCAATCCACTGGCCAACAGCACCCCGACCACCGCGTCTGGCGTCTGGACGACCGGTACCTCGACGCCTTCCCGCACCTCTAAAGTCATCGCCTCCGGGCTCAAATTCGGCCTCTCCATTTACGGATCTCCCACGATAGTCCTGTAGTCTTCCGGATGCTGAGTTTGTCCTCGGCTTATCATTTGTCTTAGAGTCGTTATAGTCGTAGCCGTTTAAAGGTAGTGCGAGGCGGCAGGCTCCGATCCCCTTCGCTTCAAAAGTGCGAAACCAGCAGCTCCACCTCCATCGACTTCCCGGGACATCTCGTTCGCTTCAACGCTAAAGCTCCGGGCTGACGTCTTGCGTTCGCTTTCTCCGCCAAACAAGGTGTGGCTTGACGACGGAAGAGCAGCCCACAAACGTCCAAGGAGGTCATTTGGACTCTGCGGAGGAGAAACGACATGACGCCTCGGCGGTCCTATGGGGCCGTGAACAGCAGATGGACTTCCTTTCTTTGATGGCTCTCCAGAATCCCCACTGTCCTGTGTAGCATCCACCTTTGTGGAGGCTGTGGGCTTCACACGACCAGGACCACCCTGTAACAACTGAAGGAGCTCGGAACCATTGCCGTGGAATTGTTGCTTGTCATCCTTCGCAGGTGTAACCGATCTCCTCGGCTGCTCTGGGGCGCGTTTGAAGTCCGAGGTCTCTGCTGCGCTGGGTCGAAACACCGGAGACTCGAAGTGAAGGCCAGGACGAGCTTTAAGCTCCCCAGAGGAATGCGCCGGATGAACCACATTATCAGCAGGCTGGAAAGTCGGAGCATTCGGAAAAGGATACAGCACTGGCGGATGGAACGGTCTCTCGACTGGAAGAGGAGCAAACGAGCGTAGAAATCAGTGGTCCGACGGAGTCAAGAATGGATCCGAAGGGAAAAGTGGGTCTTGGTGCTGCTGGAAGTGAGGTGACCACCCACCAAATCTTATTGCTGGGACGTAGAGTGGTCGTGGAGGAGGACCTTCTCCTCCTCCTCCAGAAGGAGCAAAGCTGTGGCAGGGACCGTGAGCTGCGACTGCTGGGTCCTGTAGCTGCTACTGCTCCTCAGCTGCTCGTCGCCCCCACCACTCTTGAGAAAGTCTTACATTCGATGTAAGAACTGCGTCCTCTGGCATCTCCAAACAAATTGGGCACTCAGCACTTTCTCCTTTACGAATATCATCCACCACCTCTTTGACATACGCCGTCGAAGGCACCTGGGAGGAATTCTTGTCCAAGAAACGTCTAGCCAGCTTTCCCAGGTCCGCAAAGTCTTCAGTATCGCCACGGCTGCGTGACGAAGAAAACGTCAGGAACTTCAGACATAAGAGGATGCATTTTCTACCTCAGAACAAGAAAAGGATGATCACAAGCTTGCCGTAATCGAAGTAGCAGTTCGAGGATCGAGGCATAGTTATGGAGAACTTTACCTTGTTTAACGAACTGATCGAATTTTACCTGATCTCAAAAGCAAAAACGTGTTCAGAAAAAAGAGAAAATAAAAGAAAGAGAAGTTCTTCATGCCTTAGATCTGTGGTAAAGGGCATCATAAAAATCACGTTCAGGCTCAGATAGTTTGCATTCAATAACTTCACAATAACGTCTCTGGTAAACACAGAAAACTCTACCTCAAATGGAGAACTATGCTGCTCATAAGAGAAAGAGCCTCTGGTGCCATTTTGCACTTCCCAAAGGTATCAAACACTTGGCCCAGTCGGCTGGAAGCCGTTCTATCTGTGAGCAAATGGTTAGAATTAAAACGAAGAAACAAGTCAAGTGAAACGTACCTCTCCTGAAGCTTTTGTCAAGAACCTTACAATGTCGGAGCTCGCTTTCGGCCGTACCTTCTTGCGCTCAAAGAACTTCTTCTTACTTTCGGCTTCAGGCTTGGGAAAATTGAAGGACACGAACTCGCCAACACGAATCAGGCATCCCCTGGACGTCGAGTACCCGGCAACTTCAGTCTCTTGGAGAAGCCACCACCTCTGTGCATCTAAAACAACCGGTTGCTTCTCTGCAGCTTTAGCCGTGTCATTTTCTATTGGAACCACCTTCGCTTCACACAAATGGGCAGCTTTACCACCCCCGAATGGAGTTTCAACTTTCACAGTATCATAACCAGGTTCCATCTTCACTGAGCCAACCGGAGCTTCGACTCTTGCAGACTCAAAACCAGCTTCCATCTTCACCAAGCCATCTACTTTCATAGGATCACATCCAGCTGCGATTGAAACCGAAGCTTCAGCTTTCACGGAACCACAACCAGCTTCCATCTTAACGGGATTACCGTGGGTCAAGGCACTACCTCTGATTGAAAGTCCAGCTAAGGCGCTAGAAACAGCCTCGCCATGTTTCCTGACAGTCTCAATGGAGCTCTCCACCACTGTTGTTCTTTCCACCTCGGCATCGTTTCCTCCTCCAGTCATGATCTTGTTTACCTCTTCTTCCCCACCATCGATTGCTCCACTTTCTACTCCCGAATCATCTAAATCGTCTGCTCCACTATCATTGCTCACCTCGGCAACTTTTGCTGTCCTAGAAGCCTCAGCTTTTGCAGGAGTTTTTGGCGATCCACTGCCGATGGAACATTTTGCCGCAGGGGCCTTTGTTGTCACCGTATATCTAGAGCTCCCTGTCGTCCACGATTTACCAACGCTGGCTGGGGCTCCTCGCCTTGGCACTGCTCGTCGGAGCCTTAAGCTGGAGCCTCTTCCTATTTCTAAAACCCGGAGTGTTGAGCCCCATTACCTGTGCAGCTCCACAACGCCGATCAAGGCCGCCCCCCAGCGCCGTCTCCTCGACCACGCGGGCAATAGAAAACCTACGTCGCCTCCAAGAAAGAACCCTAGAATGGAGAAGTAGCGACGATAGCGCGGGAAAATGTAGCGGGAAGCCCCAATCAATTGCGCGCCAGCATCGCGCATCTGATCGACGACCTTCTTCTTCGCAAATCCTGGAGATCACGTCACGCAGAATGATATGCAGCACCCATCGCCAGGATCGCATTGACTGGGCGATTGCGGATAGAATCTAAGATCTTTCAAGACGTCGGTGACAAGATCGCCCGGATTCCATCAAAGATCGGCAGAGGAGCCCTCTATTCCCAAACGCCTGGATCAACGCCGTACAAGAGACAAGACGATGCTCATACTCTCAAACAGGCGTATCGCATCTTTAAGAGCGTGCTCCGTTCGTAAAACAAGGAATGATCATTGTTTTTCTTGCGAGCACATTCTGTTGAGGCATCCCGTCAATTAAAACTTTTGCGTCTTCTAAATGCCTTGTCCCGGCAACTGCTGCTTTCTCGCATGGCATTCACAAACCCACCTTGATCAAAACATTCCTCGATCATCCAAAGAAACATCTCTTTTGACTGAGCGTTTTAGGCATACGCTGCGAGGATCAAGTTCCATGCGACCACATCCCTCTTGGATCTCCGCTCAACCGATTTTTCCCAGCAAGATGTTCCGCAAGAGCCAGCGATGATCCGTCGAGCACCCCACAGCTCCCCATACTTTTGGACGATGAGATTGGCGAGGTAGCGATCGTTGTGGTGCTCACTGTGAATCAATCTAGCTCTTATGTCGTGAAGGTCGCTGGTGTTTAAGCAAAATTGAACCAAAACAGCAAATGCCTGGATGGAAGAACAGCTGCTCAAAACGGTATTAGTGTGTGTGTGTGAGAGAGAGAGAGTTGAAAAAAGTGAAGAACAGTATGATTCCGATCTACAAGGCCAAGAGTTAATATTGTGCTTCTTTCTGGGAGAAAACCTTTCAACTTTGCAAAAGAGACAACCTGTACTTTGTGTGTTCAAGGTTTTCTGTTTGTATAAATAGAGTGGCCATTGTGTTTCTTGCGAGCACGTCATACTGAGGCATTGCATCAAACGAAACCCTTTGCTTCTTCCAAATGCCATGCCAGGGCAAATGCTGCTTCCCGGCATCCACAAACCCCTTGATCAAAATGTTACACGAGAAGCAACTCTCTGGATAAATCATCAAAAGAAACAACCTCTTTGCTTAAGCGTTTTGGTCATATGCCAGGATGACGTTTGATACAGCCTCCCAGTTTCTTATCCCCGGTCGATCCAACTCGGGTGCTCAAGTTTTGCTGATGAGCACAGCAGCAGAATTCCATCACCTGTGCAGTCTCCCTCTTGCAACTTTCCAACTTAAAAACTGGGGACGAATAAACTCGGCTTCTGGAAACCACTAGTTCCTTGCTTATATTATCTTCGAGTGGGAATTTATTACCACTAAAAGACCCTGTGACGAGAAATGGACTAGGAAGTGCGAGGACTCCTTACAAACCAAGCCACATTGTACCACAGACATATTGGGAAAAAAAATACCACAACAACAACATACCAGAAAAATACAATGCATATGCAATTTGAGCTTCATACTTAACATCCCAACAACACTTCAACTCCAAAACTCTATGCTGTGAATTCCCTACTTCCTCCAGATGATAATCTAAGGAAGCTTAGCAGCTCACTGAGTGGAGATGCAAAAGAAAACAAGTGAGTGAGAGCAAATGATGGCGTTTCAATGAGGAATGGGTATTGTGTGTTTTGCATAGTGCAAACATTTTGCAAGGATATTTAAAACAGCACCTTGAGCCACTACTCCTAGAATGTTGTTCTTGCCGGTTGCAAAGATGATTTAGCGTCAAAATTGCCTTGATGGCTGTCACAACAACTTGTGGAGCAGATCATGATTCAAGTCAAGGTGCACAAATTTTCTTCTCCATTATCAAGTACTTTGATTTTTCCAGCTGTGATCCACCAAAGGTTCCAACACCTTGGCCTTCATCTCCATGGGAAAGACATCTGGCTGCCAGATGCCATGCCATATAGTGTTGTCTAGCACCACAACCACAATATGCTCATCAACATGGTTTTTTTACTATAACTAGTACCAAAACAAAATGGTTGTGTTTGTGGTTAAACCATATGTGATTTTAATGGTTTCATGACTGGTTTCTTAATTGTTAATGCATTGGTTTTGGGACCACAACCACTAATGGTTTTGTACATAGTTTTCATCATGATTTATGTGCTATTTGGCAATCACGAGGAATGGCTTTTTGTATAATTTTGAATATGATTGAGTTGTATTTTGAGAATAAATGGACATATACTTTTGTATATAGTTTACTGATACATATATAGTTTGGAAACTAATGTTTGCCAATTTTGTTCACATAATTTTATTCATAATTCAAATATAGTGTTGCATATAAATTTTTATATATAGAACCATATTTATAGATATGGTTTTATTTACATTTTAATTTTTTAATGTAATCCAAGTATTTATGGATAAGGCCTCTTTAGATATAATCAGTTATTCAAACTTCACACTTTGCTCAACAATATTCTTTAAGGTTTACTCAGTTTTAATTTTGTGGGCATTTGGCAACTTATAAATATGGTTCTCATTCTTATAGAATTACTTCATGTTAGCAAAAGAAAGGTTAAATTCAAAGAGCAATTTCACTAATTTTCTAGAATTACTATGTTTAGTTTAAAAATTTTTTGCAAGTATTTGCTAAGTTTGAGTGAAAAAAATAAAACTAATTATATTAATTTGTTATTATATTACTTTATTAATAGTTGTTGATTCTTTTTATGCCTTTATAGTGTATTCCACTTCTTTTGCCTCATACACAGGAAGAGTAATCTTATCATTTATCTGGACTCTTTTGTTTTTTCGTAATTTTGCTAATGTTAACTAAAAAAATAAATAAAGTTATATTATATAATATATACAAGCTTAAACCTCCTTATAAATATTTGTGGCTATTAGTTGAACTTCTACTATTATGGATGAAAGTTACAAAGTCATATAAATTAGTTACAGTTAATACACAAAAGTTAAAAAGCAACAATTTTTAGTGAAGATTGTTGCAAAATAATGAGATTTTTTTATAATATTATCTATATTTTAATAAAAAATTATTTATAGAAGCACTTTAGGTGTTCTTCTACTTGTAAATAGAGCCAAAAAATATTAGACAATATATACAATTAAGTTATACTATGAAATTTACATTTTTTTTCTTTAGTTATAATCTCACACTCTATATCTTCATCAATCTTGTTTAGTAGGGTATAGGGGTTGCTCCTCACATCCGTTGCCATATGATTTAGTCTGGAGCTGCACAAACAAAAATTAAAAACTATAAAATCATTTTTAAAAGAATACCTCTTTAATAGTTTTTTCATTATCCTTACCAATGACAATGGCCTTTATGCACTTAGGCCAAAACATCTTCTGAACTTAAAATTTAAAATTAGTGCATACTTCTTTCTTTAGTGTTGAGCATAATTTTAAAATGTCATCCTAAAAAAGATTTACCTCACATGCAAAAAAAATCTTTATATTGGCCAATAAATCCTTATCTATAAGTGAAATTATCCTCACTCGTAGGGATTTATACTTTTAAATGAGTGTGCCACTATAAACTTTCTTAACTATTGTAGTTTTCTCATTGCCATTTATTTAAAATTTTTATCCTTACTATTTGAAGATATTGCAAAAGCCATATTTAAAACTATGAGGTTTTTTCCATTGAAACTAATATGGTTTGTACCTTAAAAAACTCAAGATCTATCAATACCAACCTCATATTTGACTTAAATGCAAGGAGATCTATAACACTCTAGTCATATAAGTATTTTATAAACACTTTTATTTGCTCTATTTTAACAACCACTGCTTTTTTAAGTTGATACCGCAATACAATGAAGATCTTTTTTATCTTGAACTCACAAACACAAAAGGCATGGTTATCCAATTTGCACTCATGAACTGACTTAATTAACTTAGTTCTTTGCTCCACTTTCCTTTTACATTTGAAGTATCCTCTTTTGATTGAGCTTAATTCTTTGCTCCACTTGCCTTTCACATTTGAAGTATCCTTTTTTGTAGTTAGGAAAGATTTATAATAACTCATAAAGTAAATTCTTGCCAAATAAAGCTAATGGGAAATTTAGTAAGCGCTTGGAGTATTTTTTAACATTGAAAATTGGTGTTGCAAACCTTAGTTGCCACTATTATAATCCTTGACTTGGTGTGTTTTGTTTTTGAGTGGGTGTTAGCTCGCACTATTGTCTTCGTAAAGGGCTTTTATTTTGGGCATGCCTTTTATTGCATACCTACTCCGATGAATCATTGAGATTCTTGAGTGTCTTTGTCATTTGGATTGCATCCCCCATTTTTGCTCCAATGCTCATCCATATCAAAATGTTGAGTTTGAAATAGTCCTCTCTAAAAAATCCATCACTCTTAATCTTGTTAATGAAGTTTGGCAACACTCTAGCTAAATAAACACTCTCAATATATTTACACAATCCCTTGCTAGATGGTTCATTCAATCTTGCTAGGGTCATAAACATTTAAAGAAAAAAAAAGGATTCACTTTATGTATTTTTACCCATTACTTACCTTATCTCAACTCGTCGATTTAACTACAACAATGGAAAGATACAAAACTTAGCATCTCTACAATCTTGCCACCCACTAAACTCTACTATGCAAACCTTAGCTCATACGTGGGAAGTTCAAATGTATATAAATTGATTAACAAACCTATATTGATTTTAACTAATTATGCTATTATAACTATGTGCACTAAAAACTTCTGCTTCACTTTCTCTAAAATCAAATTTATTTGTTACCATATCTAATATTGTGGTCTCTCTAGAGAGACTTTCTATCTCCATAATTGCATTATTGGACTATTTTTCTTCTTAAATTACTTCTGGGGTATGGAGTTTCTTCTAAAATCAAGCCACAACTTATATCCTAATAATCAAAATACATAAATATTTTTAAAAATGTATAATTAAAAA